GTGCCTCCATTTGAACATCTCATTGATGCACCATTTCTGTGTTCTGTTCTGTCTCTGAGAAACATTATTTTCCCAAAGCCTGTTGGCACAGTTCACTTCCATTTAGCATTTACATCTCAGTTCAAATCTTCCTTCCCTGAGGAGAGCTCCCTGACATGAAGGCCAGATGGAGAACCCTCTTGTGGCCCCCACGTGCTCCCCTCCGAGCACTTACTCTGTTCATAATTAGAGATTACTTGGGTAAGTATCTGCTCAATGTCAGGGTCTTCACCAGACTCCAAACCCCTTAGAGCAGATGCATATCTCTGCTGCTCACTGCTATGTACACTGCCAGATCCAAGCTCTCGGTTATGCACAAAGAGCACTCAAACATTTGGTGAATAAATGAATGAATGCTGTGTTTGTGCGTTCAGACATGAAGTTAAAGGATCCCTGATGAAGCAAAGACTCTAAGGTGCATCGCATTTGGGAGAGACATCAGTTCTACTATGTTGAACTGAGAAAGTTAAATAAGGTTGACGGAAATCTGTTCTTGTATTTGCTTTGGGTTTTGTTTATCTTACAAGGCATCAATATTATTCTGTACCTCTAGAGTCACAGAGGACATGGAAGGGAGAAATCAATAGCTGCAAGCCAAAAAAATAAAGTTACTGAATCCTTTGTTAGATGAGCAACACTGAAAGGGGAGCTCTCACACATTTATCTTACCTACAAGAAAGAAACACTAGTTCATAAACATTAGAAGCATAGAGGAAGGAGACTCTTAAAAACTTTCTACAAAGATCAAGCCAAAAAAAAAAGAAAATGTCAAACTCATAGAAACAGATAGCACAACAGTAGTTGCCAGAGGCTGGGGGAAATAGGTAGAAACTGGTAAAAGGGTACAAATTTTTGCTACACAATGAATAAGGTACAAGAAGCTAAAGAATAACACAGTGACTATAGTTGATAACACTGTGCTGTATAAATGAAACTTGTTGACAGAGTAGAACTTAAGTGTTCTCGCCAAAGAGAAAAAAAGAAGGTATATTTGTGAGGTAATGGATATGTTAATTAACTAATTGGGGAGAATCCTTTCACAGCATATCATATATCAAATCATCACGATGTACACTTTAAATATCTTACAATTTTATATGTCAATTATACCTCACTTTATCTGAAATTTAAAAAAAGAAAAATCTTTCTACCAAGCAAAGGCAAGTCTGAATGAACAGTTTAAGATTATTGACTGTAACTGATTTTCTTCTCAGAGTGGTTTTTCCTATGAGTGCAAAAAAACAATTACTCAATTGCAAGAGATTTCATAGTTTCATCAGGTCCACAGTCACATTACTTTTCCCAAGATGTTAAATTCCTCCACTTCAAAATCTCCTGCCTTAGGGATTTCAGCGCTATGGCCTTTGGTTATAATGGAAATTCAGTTTTCCTTTTGTTCTGTGTTCATTCCCCTCCCCCTCCCCACGGCACTAAAATGTGACTTAAAATGTACACTTAAAATGTGTACCTTAGTCTTAACCTTTAATAACAGCTAAAGTAGTTTAACATCCAAAACAATTTCAACGACCGATTTCTAGACCTAAGCCATCAGCTTGGATCCAGAAAACAGAAGAATGTAGAGGACAAGAATAGTAATATAAGATACAAAGATTATTAACAATCAACAGTATTTTCCATTTTTAAAAAATCTCATATCCCAAGTACATACCCCATTTCTTTTTGGCAAGATCTAACTCTGTCTGCAACTGTACATGAATATTTAAACACACAAATTCATAGCACTCTCTTAACCACTCAAATATAACCATAAGATTGATTTTCCTTAATGGAAATCAGATATGAACTCCACAGAACTCAAGTTTCCACTCTGGCTGTGCATATCCATCACATACAGTTCCTGTGAAACAGATTCACACAGAAGATCCCAAGACCCTGTTGTCATTAAAGATCCATTTTTAGTGAAAACAGTGAGGAAAGATAGGAAAAACAAGCATGCAAAAATGCATATTATTAGTTTTTAAAAAAGACTCAACTTTCTAAACATAATTTAAAATGTTCAAATATATCCATGCCATATGTTTGTGCAAAAGTGAAGAATTTGTTAAAGACACACTTGTGATACATTAAAAGAGACTTCTGAGAGTGGTTAATGTTTGATACCTCCTTCATCAGATGGTCTTGTTACCTCACTGCAGCATGAAAAGCTACGGTAAATCTCGGATATTTCTGATTTGTCATCTCCCAGACCTGTACCAAAAGTACTGCTCGAGTAAGACCGAGACCGTTGTCTCCTATAAAGATTCGCCTTTTCTATATTGGAGGGAAAATATTCATATTTGTGATTAAGTGACTTGAAGAACAAAGAAACCAAAAAAATTACTTAAAAATTTAACAGGGAAGAAAAATAATCCCTCATTAAATTACAACCCCAAAGCTCAGGTATTATAAATTCTAGCCATCTATTCCCAAACTTCAGCACATATTATCAACAAAGCAAATGACTTAATGGTCATTCACACTCAGTTTGGTCTAAATTTTAAAGGCGAGATGAGGGGTGGGAAATTGACAAGAACTAAGAAAACACTGGCAAATTAGTAAATTTCTATCAAAGGTTTGGTTATAAATAGTAATTTTCAAATATCACCAATGATACAGCATTTGTTGCCTTTTCTTTATTTTTAGAAAATCTAGGTGACAATTTGGCTGATTATGTGGATCAAATTACTATAAAAATATTAGAATTCCTACTTTGCCTTGGGCTTTCAATTTTGTTAATGTTAACAATTAAACGTGGAGTCACAATGGGGGGCAGAGAAGGACCTAAATGATAGATCTATTTATATGTTTAAAACAGTCACATAACTGTCAAATCTTCAGTTTGCTAAATGCGGTCTGAAAGCCTACAAAGATCAACCCTTGCTATCGCTATACCCAAATATCCAAACCATTTGGGTTTTACTTTTAATTATAAACATACAGTTGAAGTTAAAAGTCAAATAAACTTCCTATGTAAACTACAAATTTTGCATTTTATAAAAACTCAGAGATAAATTTTAGGGATACTTGAAAACCTATTTTAAGACATTGACGATGCTATATAGAAAATCTCTCCTCTGTTTTATATAAATCTCTCCTCTGTTTTATATAAAAGTCTTCAAAGAACTCCTTAAATTAAACAAGTATCTTTTAAATGTTGTGCTTTTCATAAAACAAATCTTTATGTTAGCAGTTTAGTGCAGTCCAAATAGCTGCATTTCAAAGCCCAGAGAACTTCTAAAATCATATTCACTAATAAAAAGGAAGTGTAAGTAAGCTCTAGACACCTTTAAAATAAATTTAGAACTAATCTAGGATATATTAAAAAGCTCTTTTGTAAGTTTTGTTTTCATAAATGATTAGTGGCATATTAAATACAGCAACTTTCTTGGTTTTTCAAAGCCCAAACTTAAAATTTTACATTACCCAGAAGGCACAATGAACCTGCACAAGCTCACAGCAGCTTCACTTTGAGGTCAAAAACCATGTAAATGGGGAGGAACTCAAAATGTAAGCAGTACCAGAAAGCATATGTAGACTTCTAGACTGAATATTGTCTTCCAGGGGATCAATGTCGAAGATGGAGCCAGGATCTGTACGCCACACTTTGAGGTCTTTTACCAAAGGAAGAAATCAACAAATCAAGAATGAATTTAAAAAAAAGTCAGCACCCAAGAGAGTCAAACAAAAGTCTGAAAAGGGACATATGCAAAAAGCAAGCATGTAACATAGGCAAACCCACTGTGCAGCAGACTTCAGAGGAGAACAGAGGGATATTCACACTCACAGTGTGATTCACACTCACAGGATCTGCTAAGAAAACTTTGTGATCAAATATAAGTTGCCTGGTTTATTCTTTGTTGACCTTCCACGGGGGAGCCTGTGACTTATCACACATGCACACCACACCACTTCCCACATCCCCAAACCCTCATCACTCATGTTCTCCACACACTGAAACAGGGAAAATGTTGGCTTAAAATTCCTGATTAAGGACATGTGAGTAATTCATAAGAAGCAACTAAAAGGTCTTTGTCTAAGAAAGCAAAACAAAAATTAAAAAAAAAAAAAACTTCTCTTCCTACAACAGAAACAAATGTTGAACAAATTGAAAAAAATCAGTAACTTTCCTTTCCTTTCTTAGCTTTTAGTACAAACCTTGCTCACTCTGTCACCATTCGACACTATGTTCCTAAGATTTTCCCTAGATGACAAGAAAGAACAGCAGGTTGAGGCTCCTTTCTCTCTGATTTGTGAGACTTTCAGACAGCTCTATTCTCCTAGTTTAGAAATAATATCCAAAAAAATATAAGCTACTCACGTTGTGGAAACCATCAGAATCTCTCAGGCATGTCTACTTGACATCAAAGGACCTATATGGGGTTACTTCTGTTCTGTTACCCAGGCAGACAATGTCTGCAGTACAATTATTGATCAGTACAGAAGCTAAACGTGAAAGATGCTCAGTTGTGTCCGACTCTTTGCAACCCTAGGTCAGTCCCTGAACTTCTCCAAGCAAGAATACTGGAGTGGGTAACTGTTCCCTTCTCCAGGGGATCTTCCCAACCCAGGCATCAAACTCAGGTCTCCTGCATTGCAGGCAGATTCTTTACCATCTGAGCTACCAGGGAAGCCAACATAAGCTAAAGAGAAACAAAATAATTGCTTAATCTTCATTATCACCTATGTCTGATATTTGGGCTGCTTCTTGGCGTAGCAAGGAGGAACACTCAAGACCAGAGAATGTCCAGCTACAGAATGAATTTGCAACACCTGGCAAAGGCCACGAATTCCCTCCAACATGGTACAAACAACGCTTTGCCTTTGGTCCACTCTCACCTGGGCACCACGTCATGCATTTGAGGAGGGGTCCGATGAATAAGGAAGCGAATTCCATTAATAAAAACAGGGAAAGCACAATCTTTTTGACTGTGCAAACCTGCCCAGCAGGCCAGTCAGCTTACCAACAATGATTCCAGGTCTCCTGTCCATCTCCACGATGTGAGGATGGACACCTTTATAGGCGGCATCGCTGACAACCTGGGTGTTCCTTCTCACTCGCTCTGTCACAGGGTCATCCACAACAGGAGTAAAGCCCCTTCCCTTTGTCTTTTCAAAATCTTCATGATATTTCACCTGCAAGAGGGAAAAACCATAGTAACTCAAACTGAAATTTCCTGAATGCTACACAGCTCACAAAATTTGAATATAAAGACAATTACTATACCAGCTGCATCTAGATTATTTTCTACATAAATATATTTTTTCCAGTTATTCCAAAAATAATCTATGAAATTTCAGTTTCCTAGCATCAGAAATCAAATGCTAACATTTTTACAATGCTTTCCATCATTACAGGTAGCAGCTCTTTTAATATATAAGCTTGTATATAAGTAAAAAGTGTTGAAAGATTTATTTTTTAAATACTAGTTACTTTCTAAAATGTACTCACTTAGGTATAATTTCCTATCTCTTAAACTTTAGTATGCAACAAAATGATAAGCTATTGCTATACAATTATTTAAGAAAGCAATATTATTTAAAATTAGATTAAGAGAGCAAGTTACAAATACCTATATATATAATTTTTATATATAGTTACAAAAATATATACTTCAAAACACGTGTTTTTTGCATTCTGAAATTAGGTTAGGGTGATGGTTGTTTAACTCTGTAAATTATACTAGAAACCACTTTGTATACTTTAAATGGGTATATAAAATATATCTCATGAGACTATTTTTTTTAAGAAATACATATTTTTATATTCTTTAAGCATGTAAACACACCAAACTCCATCTTAACATTAATCGAAAAGAAGTCCAAGCAAGTATCTTCCATAAATTGCATTTATAGTAGTGGTCACGTTAGAAATAAAAACACATCCCAAAAAGTCACTGAGAAAAATTGTTTTATTAGACTAAATATTTCCCGTACATTTCAGTGAGATTAGAAAGCACCCCCCAAAGGGTGGGCCCGTGGGCCTTCCCACGCTTTGTTAGTTATCCAGATTAATGGTGAACAACGCCATCAGAGCACTGGGTGCAGCCACTCCTTAGTACGGTTTAGTCGCGGATGGAGGACCTGTTGGACCCTACCATTGAAATATGATTTTGAGCTTCTTTGACATGTCTGAGACCAGGTGTATCTAAAATCAGACTTGGTCTACCTTTCATCTGTTTCTGGTCCTGGGTATATTTTACCTGCAAAGTAAATAATAGATCATACTTAACAAAAAGGCAACTATAATGTAAAAATTACATAAGTTTTTCAAGGTTTCCAAATGAGTGAGGCATATACAACATATTCTGAATTACTTCCCAGGTAACTTATTTAGTGAATTACATTTCCTTCTAGAATAATGAGCTAAAATTTTACTCTTGATGGTCTCCTTTAAAGGCTATGGCAAAGATGACCTAAATCTCTCTACCGACTGAATACAAATGTGTAAGTGACCAACATCCACTAACCATGAGTCTGTAAAAGTGGGAAATACTTTATCAATAGGGAAAATCCAAAACTAAATGGAACCTAAATTTCTTTTTCTGTTTCTCTATTTCCCCATTTTCCACCATAACACTGTGGAAGCATGCATAACAAACATACCTCTATCAACATTTCCTTTTATTTGATCAGAGCACATGGTAAGAATCATTAAGTATTCATCTTAGGTTCCCTCTAAACAGCCACAGCCTAAAGGTAATTTACGTTGAATACAGTCAGCATCTCTGGGCAGAAATGCCACTAGAGAGCTGCACAGTTTAAAATCTAAATGCTGATTCCCCGGCATAAAGCTCTTTCTGACATCTGACTATCAGAACACCGTTTTTTGTGAAGCTGCTTCTGTATAAGATCAGGATACGGATTATGAGGGCATATGTGCACTCAGAACGGAAGCCCTGGTATTTCCTGAGAGGAGGTGCACTCCCCAAATAAGACACTGACATGCAACACAGAACTTCAATGAGTAAGTGATTTCTGTGTTAAGTATATTTAAAGATTGTTTTTTCCTCTAAGTCCTTACTTTGGAGTAATGATTCATTTCTTATTTTGTTTTGCAGAGAGGACTTAACAATCAACATTCAATGGAATACATCTGTAAAATGATAATTGTTTAACTTATACATCAAAGACTACCACTTTCAAAGACACTGGCTAAAATAACATGATTCATTGTTTAAATGAACATAATTCAGTTTAAAAATGAAACTTTAAATATAAGTGCTAGTCACATCTGGAAACATCAGTAGGGTTCAGGACAATATAAAGTTAGACAGTGGAGGCTTTCAGATGTCATCTGAAATAACACATGTACTTTCTGCATATCTTACAAAAGCTTCTTGGTCTGCAAATAAATAATAAAGGACATATCCTTCGTGATAGCCCCAAGTGAATAAAACAACTTGCCGAACTAATATTTTCTTGGTTCTTCTTTACTCTTTCCATCTCAGGAGTCACACTTAAAGCTGTAGCTCTTCCCATCTGAGATTTATAATAAACCTATCGTTTTGGAAAACGAAAAACAGCACTGTGAATCAATTCAACTAAACAAGAGTCTCATAGTACTTATTTTAAAGAGCTAAGCAAGGATAGGAAGCTGTGGTGGGGTGGGGGGTAAATAAAAAAGGAAGCTAGCAGAGGTCTTTGTTGTTTAGTCACTAAGTCATGACCGACACTCTGCAACCCCATCGACTGTAGCTCGCCAGGTTTCTCTGTCCATGGGGTTTTTTTCCAGGCAAGAACATTGGAGTGGGGTGCCATTTCCTTCTCAAGGGAAACTTCCCAGACCACAGATTCAAACGGTGTTTCTTGCATTGGGAGGCAGATTCTTTACCAATGAGCCATCAGAGGTCTAGACATATTTTAAATGCTTGCATCTTAAATTATTCTATTTTAATTCATGCAATGGCAGAGAATCACTGTGAAGGTACCCATTACATGCGTGTACCATCAGTAAAGCTGTAGTAAGCATTTCATCACAAAGGAGTAAGGTAAGAAATATCTTCAAGGATGTTACTTTAAGGTACTCTTACCCACATAGAAGGCTGTTGGACCATTATGGTTTCTTACTAATTAACTGTGGCAGAACTTTGGCCATGATGCCTAAGTGGTAACCATGGTGATCCATAAGGCCAGCACACTCCCCAGTGCTCCAGCCCTCCTTCTCCAGAACCATGTTCTCTTTAGAGAGTAATGGAGTTACATCAACTGTACTCCGAATACATCAGGAGAAGGTGAGTATCTACTTCTCCAAAATACAGTTGTCAGGGAGAATGCCAAACAATAAACTGCCTTTCCTTTATAATCTGGCCAAAGGACTTTGAAGGTTTAAAGAATAAAAGATTTCTTTGCATTTAAAAGATTTTCAAATTTCCTCTCCCAAAGAACACAATTTATTATTAATGATTTCAAAAAAATTATTCTCTCAGGGACTTCCCTGGTGGTCCAGTGCTTAAGACTCCATGCTTCCAATGCAGGGGGCATGAGTTTGATCCCTGTTTGGTGAACTAAGATCCCACATGCTGCATAATGCAACCAAAAAATAAAAGTAAATTTTTTTAAAAATTTAAAAATAAAAAAGGACTCTCTCAGCAAACTGCATCCATGGATATCATAACGGAAAGGAGTTAGAACAGACCAAGAATTGGTGTCTGAGTAAAACTTGACAGCCCTGAACAAGTGCCCTGAAAATGGACCTGTTTTGTGTGACCTATTCAGCAAGGCACACTTCATAATTTTTTCCCAGCATCATCCAAAAATAAAGTGATGATAGCTGTGAGTGGGAAATGGGGCTGGACAGGCTACAGAATAAGAATACATTTATTAATACATATGGAGGAAAGGGAGTGGGAAAGCTTATTTGTAGAGCCAAGATGCCAGAAATTGCCATGGCATCCCTTTGGAGAACCACAGAAACTGCAAGCATGAAGAACAGATAAGAGGGATACACAATAACCTACAGACAAAAATCACACTGCAGTCACTGGGAACTGTGAGCAGGGCACGCCTGACTGGACCCACAATACCTAACACCCTGAAAACTTTCCAATAAACTGACAGTCAATTGAGAGCAGAGGCAATCAACTCAAGGTCATGACAACTTGGAAGACACGATCCCTTCATTGACATGCTGACAAAATGCTTGCTTTCATAAGAAAAAAGTGACTAAGATCACACATTGCTGAGGTTCTTCTGGTTTTCTTTCACTCTCTTCAGCTCTGGTGGATCAGAAATTGCAGTCGCCTGTTTAATCTCTCCTCTGTATTTTACCTGTGGAGGATTAATATGAATTTTAATAAACAGCAGAATGGTCTCCAACCAAATACCAACAGAGGATAAGCCTCAAAATTAACCCTATTTTTTTACATACTTTTCCCCACAGTAGATGTATGCCAACCTTTCAGTTCAAATCTACATCTGGCTTCTGATTCTTCTGACTTGGCAAGCACCGAGTGCTGGTTGTGCTTCTTAAAAATTATTTTTAATAAATATTTCTCTCTTCAATACCAAAACTAACTGCAAAGACCACAACTAAATGTAATCAAAATACAAGGGGAAGACACTGTAATGAAATCATTACAAGGGATTTCCTTGCCGGTTCAGTAGTCAAGACACCACGGTGTCTTAACATCCACTAGTGGTGGCCACATGTTAGATCCCCAGTCAGGAAACTGAGATCCTGCATGCTGTGCATGGACAAAAAATAGGGGAGAAAAGTTAAAACTAAAAGAAAAAAAAAATCATTACAAGAGAACTATAGTGAAGTAGCCACAGCAGCCTGGGAAGCCCATTTACTCCTATTCTGACCCTGGAGCCTCCACCTTCAAAAGAAGCTGAAGACCCCTCACTCATACCACCATCAGGGATACTGCAAGGAGAAAGCAGCATTCAGCCTGATTTTCTCCTTCATCTGGGAGAATTCACTCTTAAATTTATTAGTGTCTCAAAATTATCTGTTTCAGAAGAAGGTTATTGTTTATAGTGGTAAAAGTTCCATAAAACGATCAAAAAAATGGGAAAAATAACTATTAGGGGACATGTTTGAAAGAGATTTCTGAATTCAGGGAGGCCTGGGTTCAAATCCCAGCCCTGCTGTCACAAACCATGGGTTCTTGCATGTCCCCTGACTTCTAAAGACTCAGTTTCCCACACCTACAAACCAGAGCAGTAAATAATGCATACCCCACTGAATCACATAACACATTTAGCACAGGGTCCACAGCAGAGGAACCTCATGATTATTAACTACCCTTGCTTTACTAGCAACAGATCACTGAATGATTGATGTTTTCTGTTTTATTTATAAGGTTTCCTGCCATGACACTATGTCTCAGAACCAAGTCAAGTCAGGTCTTCTTTTGCCTTATGCCAAGAGACAACTTCCTCTTTTCTCAGACTGACAACATACCCACTATGCTGCTCTCCTGGTCTTTAGATCTGGATGTAGTTTTAGAGATTTACCATCTAAACTATGAGGCCCATGAAGATAAGAAGGGGTCTAATCTATCTCTGTGTACCAGTGACCAGGATAATGCCTGCCACGTTGCTTAATGAAGAGTTCTTCAATAGGGACTTCCCTAGTAGTTGAATGGCTGGAACTCTGCCTTCCCATGCAGGGGGTACAGGTTCGATCCCTAGTCAGGGAGCTAGGATCCCATATGCCTCATAGCCAAGCAACCAGAACATAAACCAGAAACAAGATTGTAACAAATTCAATTAAGACTTTGAAAAACGGTCCGCATTTTAAAAAAATATTTTAAAAAAGATTTCTTGAATAATTAAGCATGGCTGAATAGTAGCAAAGCAGTTCCCAACTTCCTGGACTCCCACAAGGGTGCCACAGTCCACAGCCCTCAGTATGGAATAGTAGAAAAGGAGTGACCAAGATGTAGAGTGTCTAATGATTTTCAGAAAGCATTGTAAAGAATAAAAATAGCTAATGTTTGGTAAAATGTTAAGAGCAAAACAGAAACAACTTGCCGAGCTCAGCTGCGCCTGGTTTCGCCTCACCCTCTCTATCTCGGGCGTCATGCTCACCGGAGTTGCTCTGTCACACGGCTCTCTGTACCTGAGCTGGGAGACAAATGCAAGATGGTGTGGGGGTACCGGAAGGAAGAGTGAGCTAACACACAGCAACTGGTGAAAAGAAACGTCACACAGCGCTCATTAGCTGACATCTTTGCTAGGACTGTACAGTGAAAGATGCTCTGCTAATAGATGTCATCATCACAGTGATCCAGGAACTAAGCTTTTCCTTGCCCAAATGTTTTGAATCATGCCCGGGGTTGTTAGTCTTCAAACGGTATTATTTTTTGGTGGTGTCTCTGAGCTTGATCCTATCAGTAATGATAAATGACCACTTCTGTGAGTTTGTGTCTTCACAGTACTAAAATGACGTTACCAAATGACCATTTTATATTTACACTTGAAAATAAAAATTCTGGATTCACCACTAGAAAGAAGGGTTAGAAGGGTCATGCCAGTCCCATGCCTTCACCTCAGTGATTGGTTGTCACTATAAAAAGAAACCCGAACCTCCTTCTCCACCAAGTTCCAACATTGGAAGACCATGCTCTGATCAGCATCATGGAGATATTTCTTTTTTTAAAAAAAATATTTATTTATTTATTTGACTGCACCAGGTCTTAGTTGTTGCAAATGGAATCTTTAGTTTCATCAAGTATGAATTTAGTTTTCTGACCAGAGATGGAACCCTGGCTCCTTGCAGTGGGAAAGTGGAGCCTTAGCCACTGGACCACCAGAGAAGTCCCATCATGGAGATACTTCTGACCTACTGCCAGAATAGGGCATCAGAGCCCAACATGTGTGGTCAGCTTTCCCAGTAATTCCGCAACATTCCAGGAAATAAAATGAGGATCCAACACAGGGAGATAGCATATCCACCAAATGAATTTCTGACAGGTAAAAGGAAAACTAGAGGTTAAAACTGCATTATGAAGAACTTCACAAGGACAGTCATAATGACTTTTTGGAGCTTAAACTTAGTGTGAGGGAATTTTTTCTTTTTTTGCAAGACATCACAAGGCCTGCAGATAAAATGGACTTGAGATGTACGCCCTCAGCAGTGCATGTGCAAGTGAACAGATATCTGATAAGCCTGGAAAATAAATGACAAAGGGTCAGGCTCTTCCCAGTGCGACTTCTTTCTCTGTATCATGGTATGCAGTCTGAGAGTTTAGGCAGATCCTGTGTCGGATAATTGCCTAAAGCGAGGAAAGGCCCAAAGTAATCTTTGTTGATGGCAGGATACAAAGAAAGATGACTCTGGGTAGCGTTCAGAGGAGAAACATTTGTTGAACAGCATCACTGATGTAGAGAAATTGTTGCAGCCAATTTCTAGTGGATGTAAGTTTGGAGACATAAATTTGATATGGAGACACTTCATGTATTGCATTCATTCACTCACAAACATGCTGAGTGCTTTACAGGCAATATCTCACTTAATGTTCTAGTCCCTGTTTTAAAGATGAGGAGAATGAGGCTTGGAGAGGTTGGTGGCTTATGAAGGATATACAGCAAGTAGGGTCTGGAGCTAGGATCAAACCAACAGTCCAGAGCCCACATTGTTCTCCACTCCAGAGTTATTCAAACTTCAATCATGTATACACCACTTGCCATATGCCATGCAAGGTATCACTTGAGCTGTGACTTCAAGTATTTTTTTATTAAATTAACTCATTATTTTCAAATAGTTATTTTAAGGGGGTGTTATGTTTCCATGATAAATTGAAAACTAGTAAACTATTTTATTTTTGGAGGATAATTGCTTACAGGCTGTGCTGGTTTCAGCTCTGCAACAGTATGCATCATCTACATGTAACCTCACCTCCCTCCCGAGCATCCCTCCCAACCCTCACCTCACCTGTCTAGCTCGTCACTGAGCTGGGCTTCCTGTGTAACCCTTCTTTAAAAGGGACATGTTACGGCAATCTCTAGGTCACGCTGAGTGAAGCAAAATGGAGGAAAACAAATATCACATGATATCACTTATAAGTGGAATCTAAAAAATGGCACCAATGAACCTATTTACAAAAGGGAAACAGAATCACAGATGTAGGAAACAAACTTATGGTCATCCCTGCCCCAAAGGTGGGGGGAGGGATAAATTGAGAGCTTGCGATTGGCATATACATACTACTATATATAAAATATATAGACACACTACGATATATAAAATAGATAACTAATAGGCACCTACTGTATAGCACAGGGAACTCTACTCAATTCTCTGTAAGGACCTAAGGGCAAAGAATCTGAAGAAGAGTGGATATATGTATAACTGATATACTTTGTTGTATAGCAGAAAGTAACACAACATTGTAAATCAACTTTACTCCTATAAACAATAACTTTTTTAAAAAAGGAACACATTAAAGCAATTTAACTCATTAAGTCAAGGCCTGAGCATCAGCAGGCCATCTGAACCAGGGACACTGGCACTGCTGGCAGCCTCCTCGGGGCCTGAATCATGCTTTCTCTCTCTACCATCTTTCTCCTACTGTCTTCCAGCCCAAGGATTCATCACACTGAACTTTCCCCTCTTTGAACAGATCTCAGATCATGAACACATTTAGGATGCACTGCCAGGAGGGCCCTTCCTCATGAAACCTATCCTAAACTTTTATTAATTCTTCAAGATCTAGCTCAACTGTTACTCTTTCACCAAAAGTTTTCCTCTCTCTCACTGACATAGCCTTCCTTCTCTGCATTTCCCCAGCACTTTGAAAACAGAGTTATTATTTAACATTAAATGAGATATTGCATGTAAAGAACCCCAAAAAGGTAGTAAGCACTCAACAAATATTAATTATTTTAGAGCACTTAATCCACAATCTTTATTTATCCCCACAACTGTTTCTCCTAGAGACCTTGAGAATACACACAGCCTCTAACCTTAAGGTGTATCTCACTCATCTTTGAATGCCCCCAAGAACAAGAACAGAGTAGGCATTCAACACCACATTCTATAGTAAGCAAACACACATGCTTGGTGCAATGCTAGCCCAACACAAAGATGTGTGAAATTATCTCCACCTTTCAGGAACTGGCCTTCCTACAATGGTATTCATTCTAATTCATTCTACTGTGCAAGTGTCATGCCCACAGAAAGCAATACTTAAAGAAATGTGATCACACATTGCTGATGTTCTTCTGGTTTTCTTTAACTCTCTTGAGTTCTGGTGGATCTGAAATGGCTGTTGCATGTTTCACCTCTTCTTTGTATTTTACCTGCATGATTTATTTTTAAAAAAAATGTGAGTCTTATTCAACATAAGTTTTAAAAAATAATTAAGAATTCTTCATTTTTAACTATTACATAGCCTATTTTTTAATTCCAACATTAATTTTCCTTCAATGAGAACACACATTTTTATTTCATCCGGGGCTTTCAGGATTCCTTTATCTTAAAGTACAAACAAACCCATATCTATTCACCTATCCATCACTGGAGAGGTTATTTTTAACTAAAATAAGCATATACTGCTTATAAAAATAAATTTTATCATTAGGCAGATGCACCAAAAATTTTAGAAATTATCTTAATACAATAATTCATTATTTTTCTATAATAAAAGCAGTTTCTATTTATTATTTGTGTACTCACCATGTCTTTAAAGGCAAGAGTCAAACTGAGTTAGTACTAAGTCTTGGAAACACTGCTTATCTGACTAAGAGTACACAAATAATCTAGAATAAGAAAAAAAAATAAAAGAAGAGAAAGAGGAAGGTGGAAGAAAATATACTACAAGCAGAGGCCATTGAGTGCTGATCACTACAGAAGGGCCAGTAGCAGAAAGTCAGGAAGTGTCTTCTTCCACACAATCATGTTATGTAAAGCCCGCATATATCCTGGCATTCACAACAGTCAAAAGCTCCTCTGTCAAGTCTACTTAGAGGAAGATCAACCAGATAAATGATAAAACCAGCACACAGTTACGCCCAGGACAAGCCCTTTAAACTTATACAATGATTAGTGATGTTATCATATTACATAGTATTTTAATATGTCTAAAATGCATGGAAGATTGGAATTGAGACAAAGGACACACACATATGTATATATATAAATATGGACACATCAGCTAGACTTCAGTGGCATTTGTTGAAATTTAGCAAAGACTTAGATCTATGCAAAATACATTTTAGAAATCACTTGGTAATGTTTAAAATGATTAAGGCTTAAATTCATCCTGAGAGTCATGAAGAAACAATACCTAAATATCTTTGCTATCATCTATGTTTTAGCATCTGTACATTTCACTTGTGATATGAGTAACACCGCCAATATTAGGCCAGATCCAAAACAGTTAAATCAAGAGTACACTGAGACAGACTATCTCCGAGTAAGATTCCAAAATAGTTCTTAAGAGAGAAAGCTAATACTCAAAAGGCTCATCCTCTGGAGGTGGAAAATGTCGAGATCTTTAAATGTTAGAGAATCCTATCTTGGTTTGACAGATCCTGCTAATCTTGAAAGGGCAACTTTCCATTTGAATACTAAGCAGGAGTTTATGGCCCAGGCTCATAGAGATACAGAACTATGAGTTTATTGTTTGCTAGAAGAGGCAGGGGGATGCCGGGAGAAGAAATGATAGACTGTGTGATTTTCCTAGGGTGAGATGCTAAACACGATTAAAGATGAACATTTTTGTTTTTCATACAACACCAAACTAATCAAAATGGCACAGTCATTTCGCTGTAGGCAATAGAATTGTGCAGTATAGAACATTTATAACATTATACCCCAGTACAATGATGGGTACATTTCAAATGTTATCATTTGGAAGTGAAGGAAACAACCACTTTGCATTTCTCAGCTGAACTAACTTCTCTACCAGACTCAGCGTTGCCTGACCCAGACTCCTGCCGCGGCGGGTTAGCACTCTCGCCTTCAGCTCCTCTTCCTTGTGCTTTCTGCAGGAAATCAGACTCCTTCATTGTACAGAGATTCTAGTGCACGTGCATTCTACAGTTTTCTGTAAGTTCATTTTCTGTAAGTCTGTTTACTACAGCATGACCTTACCTTTCCTACTCTGTCTCCACAAATGCCAGTGCACACATATTTTAGGATAACCATTGGAGCTCCTAACAAAGGCATTTAACCAAGGCAGTTAGACTTGGACGACTTAAAGAAACTCTGCCTCCAAGGGTGAAGGTCAAGAGAAAGGTCAGGGAAGGAGATATAAGGAAAGAACCCTCAGCAAGAAACTAAATAGCAAGCTCCCCACATCCTCAATGTGGAGCCTAAAGATGTGGAGGCCCAACAGTGAGGGACGTGGGCATCTGCTGATGTTGGTGTGAGTACGTGTAAATGACTATGTGTGTGTGTTGGGGACGGGGGGGGGGGGGGGNGGGGGGGGGGGGGGTCCTTCAACCACTCCCTGTGGACACCAAGGGATGACTGTATAACAACTATTACCAAATACACCTATTGGTAAGGGTAGCAATGATCCATTGTAAATGTCAAGCACTGAGTGAAGAAGTTTTTAATCCATAACATTTAACACCTCCTCTACCCTTCCCCCAAGTTCAAAGGGCACTGGGGAGGGGGGTGGTAAATTTATTTTACAAATTATAATGAAGGTGTGTGCTTTTCTATGCTGGAAGCTCAAAGAAGTAGAAGGTAAATGGGGCCTTTGAAACCTTCTCTTGAGCCACCAAATAAATGTTCTAGTGCCTTTAATCATTCTATCAGGATAAAATTTCTTTCCTCCAAGTTGTGAGGAGGTATTGAAAAGTATCCTTTCTCTGAAAAATGTAATATAGCTAAAATTCTGTTCAAAAGGATGAAAACTAATCCTAGATTTCATTACTGTACTATTAAAGTGATCTATCTCTTATGCACTATGATATATATATATCAAGATGAAATACTGCTTTAGGTTCAAGGGGAACAAGGCTACAGTTTCCTTCTGAAAGTTAGGTCTTTGATATTTGATGAAACAGTGTTTCAACAAAGCAAAGAAAAAAAGAAAAAGGCAGCTAGTTTTGTAAAGAACTAAAAACATTTATCTAGCTTGTGTTTGCTTTTGGAAAGGATAATTAATGCCATAGAGAACTTACTGAACTAATGTTCTGCTGATTTTTCTTCACTCGTTCAATCTCAGGAGTATCTTTTACTGCTGTGCCAGCTCCTACTTCTTTCTTATAAAATACCTTTATTATAAGAAAAAGAAAAGAATAACTAAGCTTATTAGAATTCAAGTCCTAGATTTGATTCTTATAAAGGAAAATTTCTCAGGTTTTAAAGTAACATGAATACAGCTTCTATTTATGAGAACCAATGTTACATTAATCAATTAAATAATCCATCATGGAAATAAATGCAGAACTTTGGTTTTGTATTCCACAGTCTTCCAAGTAAACCTCTACTACCTGTTCTAGGGTATGCCTGGTACCTTACATGGCTGCAGATTACTTGCGCTAAGAATAGAAATTTTCTTCTTCAAATACAAACATATGTCACATGTGCCGCTGAGAAAAATTAAAGGATAATATAAATATCCTTACTAAGCAGTTACCGTTTAATTCAAAAATAGCATGAAGTTTCAAGCAACTGCTCTTCTTCATGTCAGAGCAAAGACAGTCTTGTTCTCTTCAAAGAAAATATTAACTTTACCATCAGCATCGACACTACGTCAGCCTGTTTTCCTTATCTTCCACTTATTCCTTAAACCTTCCCACATCTCTCCATCCCTACCAACACCCACCCCTTTCAACCACAAAGGAAAAGAAAAAACAAAGTGTCCTACAGAAAAACAGACTAATTATAAGGAAGTCATCTGAGGCCAGAACTACTCCCTCTCTTTTTTAATTAATTAATTTTTAAATTGGATGATAATTTCTTTACAGCATTGCGATGGTTTCTGCCACACAGCAACATGAGTTGGCCAGAGGTATACATGTGACCCCTTCCTCTTGAACCCCCCTCCTACCTCCCTCCCTACACTATCCCTGTAGGCTGTCACAGAGCACCGACTTTGGGTTCACTCTCCTGATATTTGTTAACCAGTAGGTCCCAGTGAGGGTCGGGAGAGCAGGACATATGAGATGTTCCCCTGCAAAAGCTAGAGATCTGGAATCACAGGTGGCAAGGGCCACACAACTCTTCTCCCTCATCCTCTCTTCCAGCAAGATTTCTACATCTCTTGGCACAGGCCTTCCTGTGAAGACCCTAGAGGTACCCTGAACAGCATACTTGCAGAGTTGTTTTTCAATTTATTAGAAAGTAGAAAATATTCCAGAAATTTTCAGAAATAATAGAATTTATATTTTTAATAACATTTGTTTAACCACTAAGTTAATTCTACATTAAAATATTGGCTGTACCATCAATTTTTGTTTTAGAATTCAAGTTCATATAACCCACTTATTACATGGGTTATTACATATAAGCCCACTATCTTAATCAATGGTGCTGATAAAATTCCTATTCCTCAGAAGAAAAATATGAAAGTTTAGGAATTGATCGTTGTTGTTTAGCCGCTACTGCTGCTAAGTCACTTCAGTCATGTCCGACTGTGTGCAACCCCATAGACGGCAGCCCACCAGGCTCCCCCATCCCTGGGATTCTCCAGGCAAGAATACTGGAGTGGGTTGCCATTTCCTTCTCCAATGCATGAAAGTGAAAGTAAAAGTGAAGTCGCTCAGTCATGTCCGACTCTTAGCGACCCCATGGACCGCAGCCTACCAGGCTCCTCTGTCCATGGGATTCTCCAGGCAAGAGTACTGGAGTGGGTTGCCATTTCCTTCTCCAGGGGATTTTCCTGACCCATGGATTGAACCCACATCTCCTGAATTGGCAGGCTGGTTCTTTATCACTGAGCCACCAGGGAAGCCCTTAGGAATTGGTTATAAGCTAGTAAATCCCTAGATATATTATCAATGCAATTAATCAATGACCAGGAAGGCAATCACTTCATATGACTATTTTTATCTTCAAAGTAAAATATGTGTGTAAGATCTCTTTCCTGAATGATATTTTAAAATTCAGTTAAAAGTAGCTGTTGCTTGTACCTAAAAAGGAAATTTGAATCTGTAATTCTAAAACAATCATGATCAATTATAAGTTGTAAGAACGTTTGGTATTCTTATGATTTTAAAGAAGGAAAGATATGCATTTGACTGAAAATTCAAGCAAGGCAGCAAAACAATCATACTGAGGAACAAAGGCCCCCTTTCAAAACATCATTTCAAGCTGACAACTGGAAAGAGACAATGGCTACTCACCGCACTAACGTTTTGTTGAGTTGTCTTAATTCTCTGAATTTCAGGAGTATCCGCCACAGTAGAATAGCTAGAAAGCATCTTCTCTGCCTCATCTTTATACTTTTTCTAAAAATATAAAGTAAATGTGAATCTGAAGCTCTGTGTGCCAGATTCAAGAGAGACAGAGACAAAGAGAAAGTGGTACTACTTTTTTCCAACTCTGCTATGCCTGAAAGTGAAAGTCACTCAGTTGTGTCTGACTCTTTGTGACCCTATAGTCCATGGAATTCTCCAGGCCAGAACACAGGAGTGGGTAGCCTTTCCCTTCTCCAGGGCATCTTCCAAACCCAGGGATCGAACCCAGGTCTCCCGCATTGCAGGCGGATTCTTTACCAGCTGAGCCACAAGGGAAGCCCACATAGCTTAGGATTCAAACCAGCTGTTGATGTGTTTGTGTGTGTGCTCAGTCGCTCAGTCTTGTCAAACTCTAGGATGTATTTATGCAACAGTAAAAATAAACAGCATATGCAAACAGAGTAAGCAAACAGTCTAGGAAAACACATTCACCTTCTCTCAGGCAATGGTTCCCACCCAAGACTATTCAAACACTCTGGGACGACGGCCTGGCCTCTATGGAAGTCCTAAGCCTAGAAGCTACTCTCTCATGAGAAGTTCCAGTTCCTGGTCAAAATAGCCCTTATAACTCCTACCAGTAACCTAACTCTCTTTGCTTACTTGTCTTCATGCTTCTAGATTTATACTTTGCTTCCTACTTCAGATAAAGATACACTTGACTAAGGAAAAGGTACAAGTATTTGTACTAGAGATAAAAATCTCAATTTTCCTTTTGCTACTAAATGTACTATTATGAGCTCAGATATATCCTAGGCAATAACTTCTACTAGTGCCAGCATTTACATAGTAGTTCAGTTCAGTCGCTCAGTCGTGTCCAACTCTTTGCAACCCCATGGACTGCAGCACGCCAGGCGTCCCTATCACCAACTCTCAGAGTTTACTCAAACTCCTGTCTATTGAGTTGGTGATGCCATCCAATCATCTCATCCTCTGTCATCCCCTTCTCCTCCCGCCTTCAATCTTTCCCAGCATCAGGGCCTTTTCCAGTGAGTCAGCTCTTCGCATCAGGTGGCCAAAGTATTGGAGTTTCAGCTCCAACATCAGTCCTTCCAAAGAATATTCAGGACTGATTTCCTTTAGGATGGACTGGTTTGATCTCTTTGCAGTCCAAGCGACTCTCAAGAGTCTCCTCCAACACCACAGTTCAAAGGTATCAATTCTTCAATGCTCAGCTTTCTTCATAGTTCAACTATCACATCCATAATAGAAAAACCATAGCACTGACTAGACGGATCGTTGTTGACAAACTAATGTTTCTGCTTTTTAATATACTGTCTAGGTTGGTCATAACTTTCCTTCCAAGGAGTAAGCGTCTTTTAATTTCATGGCTGTAGTCACCATCTGCAGTGATTAAATGGAGCCCCCAAAAATAAAGTCTGTCACTGTTTCCACTGTTTCCCCATCTCTCTGCCATGAAATGATGGGACCAGATGCCATGGCCTTAGTTTTCTGAATGTTGAGCTTTAAGCCAACTTTTTTACACTCCTCTTTCACTTTCACCAAGAGGCTCTTGACTTCTTCACTTTCTGCCATAAGGGTGGTGTCATCTTCATATTTGAGGTTACTGATATTTCACCTGGCAATCTTGATTCTAGCTTGTGCTTCATCCAGCCCGGCATTCCTCATGATGTACTCTGCATATAAGTTAAACAAGCAGGGTGACAATATACAGCCTTAATGTACTCCTTTCCCGATTTGGAACCAGTCTGTTGTTCCATGTCCAGTTCTAACTGTTGTTTCCTGACCTGCATACAGATTTCTCAGGAGGCAGGTCAGGTGTGGTCTGGTATTCCAGCTTCAGCTCGCACCAGAGGCGAGGGGTGGGGGAGTGCAGGGGCTCAGGGGTTTTGGGTTCCAAAACTTGGGGAAGGTTGTCAAAAACAAGGAGAGGGAAGGGTGTGAGGAAGCCGTGGTGGGCCGAGGGCAGGCAGTGTTGTGGGGTCCTAGGGCTGGGGTGGGGAACAGAGCATCTGGAGGCCAAAGCAGAAGAACAGGTCTGCGAGGCTGCGCCCTTTGTAGCTCTTGGCCCCACACCTAAGCCTCCAGCCTTTTCCTTTGTGAAACACAATCCTGGAGCTCCTGGGAGGCTTGGCGCTGCCTAAGACCTGAGGGCAGGGCAAGGAAGGCTTTCCAGCAGTGCAGGAACAGGAAAGCAACTGCAGGAGTGGAGTAAAAAGGAAGCGTGCTAATGAAGGCCCTAGCGAGTCCCAGGAGACGCTCCCAGCCCCAGCCTTTGGACAGCATGACAGGGAAGGCAAGGCAACAAGGTTCGAGTCCAGAATGGCTACCTGATGAATGACAGACACCTCCTAGAAGATCAGAGAAAGATGACCCCACAAGCTGGTATTATTACTATCCACTCTGGGGGAAACTGAGGCACTAGCGAAGTGTCAGAACAAGGATTTAAACCCAGCCCCTCTGGGTCCAAAGTCAGTGAAGGTAACTGCATGGCATACTGCTGCTTGATAGGGAAGGAGAATATTGTTCACATTGAAATGCACCACAGCATCATTAAACCCTTTTAAGCATTTCCTTGTATCTCAAATAACTAAAGTTCTTTAAAATCAGATGTACCCTCATATCACACTCAAAAAATCTACACTGTTAAATTAAAGCAGGAATTATAACAACTCAGGCACCACTTCCTATGGGAAGGGTTTACTCTTGTTATGTTTACTTTCTAGTAGGACATATAATTTGTCATATATATATGCATGATTATTTGATAATTAGATTACTCAGTAGTTCCCCAAAGGCAAAAATCAATGTCTACTTTTGTAGGTAAATGGGTGCTCAAGAAGTATCTGCTGAATGCATGAATGAGTTTGCCAACTTTTCTCCACTAAATCAAATGGCAATATGCCAGTTTTAAGAATTTATGATTTTTAGTTTAGCTGATATAGCTAGTGTCAACTTCTCCAAGTTCATGTGCCATCATGAGACACTGAGGACAGATGAACACACTTCAGGACATCCCAACTGCTCTGTCACTGAAGAAGGCTGAGAAGCAGGCAGCTCCTTTGATAAATGCTTGATTCTGGAATCATGATACCCTGAAATGGAGCAGGACCCCATGGGGACTTCCCAGGAGAGACTCCACTCCCCCATTACCCCCAACTCCTGCCTCTTGTCTATAGAAAAACTTTAGTCAGAAAATAAATTTAATCAGAGAATTTAGAAATATGGAAACAAAAGAAAGCAATGAAACAAGACCAAATAAAATGCAGTCATTAAACGAAGTCAAGGACCTTTAGTTCTTCCTCAAGAGCTATAGAGAATATTTTCAGCCACATCCTTTGACCTGTTTTGTAAATGCTGAAACCTCCACCAGGTGGAAGAAGTTAAAACTACATGATGAGACAGACTATAGCCATGACATAAGCTGCCACAATTTTGACAAATGGACTCAAGGAAATGGGAACAAACCAATCTTGGAACTGAAGATTAACTGCACTTAAAACAATCAAGATGACACTGACCAGACCACCACATGATCAATTTCGAGACGACTGTCAGAACTGACTCTTCTTCTCTGCTCACAGCCCCCCTCCCTCTGCCTCAGTTCAGTTGCTCAGTCGTGTCCGACTCTTTGCAACCCCATGGACTGCAGCTCGCCAGGCTTCCCTGTCCATCACCAACCCCCTCTGCCTATACACCCCAAAAGTTCCCCTTTAAAAACTCCTGCCCCTGATAGCAGGGGATAGTTGGTTCTTTGGAACATGAGTCCACCTTCTCCCCAGGATTGCTGACCTCCTCAGTAAAGCGATCTTTCCTTTTACTCACCACTTGTCTCTCAATATTGAATCCTTGCATGAATAGCCCCTAAACCTGAGTTCTGTGACACTCTCATTTTGAACCAGTGGATGTTTCAATTCCTTGCTTGTTAGTCAGAATTTTGACAAATTTGGTCAAATTTTGTTAAAAATTATTGCAACATAAACCCCATTAGCCAAATTCAATTTCTTCATTGCCTTATTTTTTTTTCATTCCCCTATACTACTTTTCCACTGGGATTCATTCTTTTTATATCAAATATTGAAGCAAATAAATTATTCACTAATGAATAACTTTGCCCAAATCAGATTTTATCTGTAACTTTTTTCTTCCATTATATACTTCCTTTTGTGGTCATTATTTCTCTTATATCCAGTTTTCTGGCAGATTTGTCACAGATATACTTGGCAAATAAATTTTATCAACAAAACTTAAATCTTACATTAAATTTTGGTTAATCTTCAATTTCACCTTATACCTTGTACAGTTTAACCTATTCTTAGTTTAAGTCGTTTATTTAAATTAAAATATGCATGATGAAGTAGATAAAAGAAAATTCTTTGTATATTTTTGCAGGATAAGCATTAGAGCCAAGTTCACAATGGAATAAAAAAATGGAAATAAAAAAGTCAAAACAAGACTCTGTTTTGGACTCAAAACAGGGGGACCTAATAGGGGTGCTCTGATGCTCAATAATGTTTGTTGAGCTGAATCTACAGCAGTTGTCTCTTTCATTATTGAGATAATCAAGTTTGGTCAGTGGTTACTTTATAACAGACTGCATTGAATTGAATAGAAAGCCCTCAAAAAGACACAAATCATAGAGACACACAGAGCAGAAGGTGATGGGATATTAGAATATATTATCATGAGCATCTTCATTCTCTACCAACCTGGCTATAGATTTCAGATGCCCTCTTGGCTCGAAGCATATCCGGGACATCCATGCTCATGTGCATTCCTTTCCCTTTAATTTCATTTTCTAAGTCTTTCTTATATTCTTTCTAAAAGAACAGAAAACAATCTTCAGAGCTTTGCATGGCCTTCCATAGCAATGCAGATATTTACATGTTTGAATCTCAATGTCACACATGTGGAAACACCATTTATATCTCTTCTGTATACAATTTGATGTGTTTGTTTTAAACTTTGTGTCCCATTAGTTTCTTACCTGGCTGGCCATTTCAGATGCTTTCTTGGCTCTCTGGATATCAAGAGTGTCTGTGCTCACCTGCATGCCTTTCCCTCTAATTTCAGTCTCTAGATCTCTTTTATAATCTTTCTGCAGAAAATAAAACCTGAAATTAGGGCCTTATAATAATTTGAAACTCTGCATTGAAAAACTTGATGTCATTTTTGATGTCAAGATCATGGCTCTTAGAAATAAACTGGACCTAAATTCACTTCTTTTTTTCTAGGAAATGACAAAGACTTAATTTGTTGCAGAACACAACTTGGAGTGGCCACAAGGACTCAGGCAACTTTTTTCTACTAACCTGACTTAAGAAAGAAAACAGAGGGAGGTGAAGGAAAATATTTTATATTTCAATAAATTGATAAAATATTGGTTAGTATATAATTCAATGAATATCAATAAAATGTGAGTGTAAAAATGTCACATCTCATAAGTTTTCATTTCTCTTGAGTATATAACCTAGAAGTGAAATTGCTGGGTCATATGGTAACTCTGTTTAGCCTTTTGAGGATCTGCCAAACTGTTTTCCAAAGTGAGTATTCCGTCTTACAATCCTAGCAACAATACATAAGAAGGGTTCCAACTTCTCTACAACTTCACTAACACTTGTTATAATCTGTGTTTTTTTTTTTATCTGAGCCTTTTAGTGGGTGTGAAGTAATACATCTCTATGGCTTTCTTTTGTATTTCACTGATGGTAATGATGCTTACCATCCTTTCATGTGCTTTGGTATGGCCATTGGTATATTCTTTTCATCTTTACTGGCAGAAGCCCCAATTCATATTAAATAGACTATACTAAAGTATAATTACATCTCTTATGGAAGATAATATATATGTAACTTTATAATACATGTGTTACATTGCTATTGTCTAGCTGACAAAATGTTATACTATGAAAACATTTAATTAAATATGTATTGATTTTAAAAAATTGCTGTATCTCATTCTGTAGTGAATAATTGCTGGTTGCCTCCTGTAATCTCACTCCTGTTTTTCCTTCATTAGCTCCTTGATTTGTCACTGGGCAACTCGATGCTTCCTGTTCTAAGCCCTCCAACTTGGCTGAGACTGGCCCCAGTGCAAGGACCCCAATGGGCTAAAGAAAATCGTTATACCCTACCCCTGGTCCTTCACGATTGGTACATTTAAGGAAGGGAACATTTCTCTTTCCACACAATATATCAAGAGACTTTTCTTCCCTTCTGGACATGAATGGAGAAGTTTGCAGTCCTGGGAGCTGCCCTGAGCCTCTTGCAAATGGGAGAAGAAAGCCTGCCTGAGAAGAGAGAGTCAGAAACTAAAACAGAATCACACTATGTAAGTCCCAGACTAAGCCATGCCCAAGAATTCCTCTACTGGTGGGTTACAAAAACAATAAAAATTATCTGCTTTTTTGAGCTGGGTTATCTGTTACCTATAAAATGTCACGATTACACACACACAACTGTCTTAAGATACTCCTGTCACATTTTAAAGTTACTGATTATTCTTATTCCTATAATTGAGCATTTTCCTGTATGTATGTTATTCTTCAATGAAAATTACATTAAAAGGCAACTACTGACTATATCCTACTAAATTTCTTCAAAAACAATTATTTCCTATTATGCTGACATACTCAAGATTTGTAATTCCATGCTATAAAGTAAATTTTGCTTTGCTTATTTGTGATGTTGTAAATTTAGAGAAGTCATAAACAAAAATTTCAATCTAGAGAAATGCTATTTACTATCTACCCGTAAGTCTGCTACCCATAAATCTGCCTATTTTCACTGACTTACAGTCTCAGTTTCACTTTCTTCAAGTGAAATAATAATAAAGTTAAACATTCAAGTAAAAATGTTTGACTTTCAAACTAATAATATTAAATTATCACTATGCCTGTAAAAAGCTCTGTTTTTAGCTAAGGCTCAAAAGCAAAACACTTCATTTGAAAGACAATATATGTAGAAACTGAGGTATTGATCGTAGATTACCACCAAAATTCCATGGTAGAAATATGTCATTTAATATTTCCAATATGAATTTTCAAATCTAAAGGCATTCAAAAGCACATAAATAGGCTACATGGACTCTAGTCACATCAGCTAATATTGATGCGTAATAAAATATCTTACAACTTAGAAAAACTTAAAAGAAAAACATGATGACATCTATGTTCCAAGAGCCTGAGTCAGATTTGTTAATGAAAATCACATGGTCAAGCCCACTGGTACCAGGAAAGTTGAACTGTGAGAGGTCATCTGTGTAACAATATAGCACATTCACTTTACTTGAAAAAACAAACGTTGAACTATAGCAAAGTCCTGAAGTCTGGTTGAAAAGGACTTGAGAACCTGTCATTGGAGCAAAATACAACATAGCTATAATTACATGCAAATGAGACTCTGGATGACCAAGACACAGCATCACCAGAATTGGCCTGGGCCACAGTACAGCTGACTCTTCAAGGCCTGTTTTTCCTGTGGGTTCTCAATAACCAAAATGTACCATTTTCCTAGTGAGTCTGAGTCTTGAAAAACATGGGTTTGAACTGTGCGGCTTCACTTGTATGGTTATATTTTTCAATAGTAACTACCACAGCACTACATGGTCTGTAGTTGTTTCAACCTGTGGGTGTGGAGAAACCATGGATATACCGAGCAGACCATAAATTATACAGGAATTAATGTCCTGTGTTGTTCAAGTGTCACCTAAATACAGTCCCGAGGTATACAGAGACATCTCAATCAGTCTATCTCTGAATAAACTAATGTATTACCATTCTAAGGAAACATGCAACACTCCAACTTGTCATAAAAGGAATATGTCATAGAAGATTCTTAGGTAAAAGTGTGAAATGCAAAATTTCTGTTCTTTCTACATTACTTTCTCCAGAGAAAGTACACTTTCTTTTGGCTTCAAGTTCAGTCCCATGGGGATAGTTTTGAAGACTCTTCTCCAGCTCCAAATTCCCCATCCCGCCCCCATAGTCCAATCCAGGACCTTGAAAGAACACTGGATATTGCACTCTCTTCATAATAACAAAAACAACAGAAAATATAAGTAGTGATTTGATAGTTGCTAGATAGTCAGTTACTCAGAAGCCCAAGGAGGCCACCATAAGGAAGTACTAATAAATCCAATAAAGGAAGGACAAGAAAGAGCCAGCCATGCAAAGACAAGGGGAAGGACTTTCAGGAAGAAACAGAGCTATACAGAGATGGTAAAACCTGTGGAGGTGCAGCCAGCCTGGAGCCTTTAAGGCTAGAATACAATGAGCAAGGGAAGAAGGGAACAGGGGTTTGAGAATGAGCGGGAGGGGGAGTATGGCCCCACACCAGAGCAAGGAGTACAGTGCCCATACTGCAATGACTGGAAACCACTGGAGGGTTTTCAGTGGGAGAAATCAGAACACTTAACTCTTCAAGGATTGTTCTGGCTTCTGGGTTGAGAATGAGGTCAACGTTGGAAGCAGAATCTTGTTTAGGAAGCTACTGCAATGATCCAGGAGATAGAGATGGTGGCTTGGACAAAAGGGGGGAGAGGTAGATGGACCTAGGAAAACATTATAGTTGTGGAGTCAATAAAACTTGCTGACAAGAGGGATCAAAGTAACTTCTGGGATTTCACTGATAACACTTGCAAAGGTATGGGTGAAAGAAGGAAGCAGATCCAAGGAAAAAATGAGTATTTTCAGTATGTTAGGTAAAGTCCCTATTATAATATATTTAAGTGCCTTTGACATGTGGTAATGCCTATAGGACATTAAAGGCAAATGGTTGCATATTTATATCCATGTTACAGAACACAATTTTTCTGTAACAATGAGGTAGAATTACATGAAGTAACACGGAAAAGAAGATATTAAGAAGAGGTGGCAAGAATACACAGAAGAACTATACCAAAAAAATCTTCACAACCCAGATAATCACAACAGTGTGATCACTCACCTAGAGCCAGACATCTGGGAATGCAAAGTCAAGGGGGCCTTAGGAAGTATCACTACGGAAAAAGCTAGTGGAGGTGATGGAATTCCAGGTAAACTATTTCAAATCCTGAAAGATGATGCTGTGAAAGTGCTGCACTCAATATGCCAGCAAATTTGGAAAACTCAGCAGTGGCCACAGGACTGGAAAAGGTCAGTTTTCATTCCAATCCCAAAGAAAGGCAATGCCAAAGAATGCTCAAACTACCGCACAATTGCACTCATCTCACACGCTAGTAAAGTAATGCTCAAAATTCTCCAAGCCAGGCTTCAGCAATACGTGAACCGTGAACTTCCAGATGTTCAAGCTGGTTTTAGAAAAGGCAGAGGAACCAGAGATCAAATTGCCAACATCCGCTGGATCATCGAAAAAGCAAGAGAGTTCCAGAAAAACATCTATTTCTGCTTTATTGACTATGCCAAAGCCTTTGACTGTGTGGATCACAATAAACTGTGGAAAATTCTGAAAGAGATGGGAATACCAGACCACCTGACCTGCCTCTTGAGAAACCTGTATGCAGGTCAGGAAGCAACAGTTAGAACTGGACATGGAACAACAGACTGGTTCCAAATAGGAAAAGGAGTACGTCAAGGCTGTATATTGTCACCCTGCTTATTTAACTTATATGCAGAGTACATCATGAGAAACGCTGGGCTGGAAGAAGCACAAGCTGGAATCAAGATTGCCGGGAGAAATATCAATAACCTCAGATATGCAGATGACACCACCCTTATGGCAGAAAGTGAAGAAGAACTAAAGAGCCTCTTGATGAAAGTGAAAGAGGAGAGTGAAAAAGTTGGCTTAAAGCTCAACATTCAGAAAACTAAGATCATGGCATCCGGTCCCATCACTTCATGGCAAATAGATGGGGAAACAGTGGAAACAGTGGCTGACTTTGTTTTTTGGGGCTCCAAAATCACTGCAGATGGTGACTGCAGCCATGAAATTAAAAGACACTTGCTCCTTGGAAGAAAAGTTATGACCAACCTAGATAGTATATTAAAAAGCAGAGACATTACTTTGCCAACAAAGGTCCATCTAGTCAAAGTTATGGTGTTTCCAGTGGTCATGTATGGATGTGAGGGTTGGACTGTAAAGAAAACTGAGCACTGAAGAATTGATGCTTCTGAACTGTGGTGTTGGAGAAGATTCTTGAGAGTCCCTTGGACTGTAAGGAGATCCAGCCAGTCCATCCTAAAGGAAATCAGTCCTGAATATTCTTTGCAAGGGCTGATGTTGAAGCTGAAACTCCAATACTTTGGCCACCTGATGCAAAGAACTGACTCATTGGAAAAGACCCTGATGCTGGGAAAGATTAAAGGCCCGAGGAGAAGGGGACGACAGAGGATGAAATAGTTAGATGGTATCACCGACTAAACGGACAAAAGTTTGTGTAAACTCTGGGAGTTGGTGATGGACAGGGAGGCCTGGCATGCTGCAGTCCATGGGTTCACAAAGAGTCGAACACGACTTAATGACTGATCTGAACTGAACTGAATTGAACATGGAAAAGGGTCCATAATATTCAGTGAGAAAAGCAAGCCCAAAGTACATCGTATTTATTTAAGGTTTTTTTCAGTTCCTTGTTCACAAATGTATAGTTATCTATATACACAGAAAAATAGATCTGGAAGGCTCTACAGAAAATTCCTAACAATGGCTATCTCTCAGGAGGATGACAGAATTAGGGGTAGAATTAGGGGCAGAAGGTTTTCAAGTCTCTGCTCAGCATGCATCCTCCCACCCCACTCCCACCATTTCTAAATGGAATCTCTTTCAGTCAAGAATTCTAGGCCATCCCTAGCTTCTGTATCTGAAGCAAAGTTATCACCATCCCATTCCCCTGGCCAGTATCTAACCCTGGGGATGGAAGCAGATCTCAGCACAGCAGTAACTCCCCTGGTAGTTATTCAGCCTCCAGATTCCCTGAGTGGGAGTCAGTCCTAAGCTAGCTCTGCCGAAATGCAAATGTCACATCATAGCTCTCAGAGTAGTGCTACTGGAGCCTCAACCCCAGCCAGCCTTGAGGTATGGGAGCTGCACCCCAACTTTCACTTTACACGTGTTTCTTTTAAATCATCTCTTCCCAAACACTCTCTGCTCCAGTGGCCCTTCTATATTTTCAAAATTTCTGGGGGAGTTCAAGAGATGTAGAACTGATTCTGGGCTATTTCATTTGAAAAATACATGTAAGATCTGACTCCTACAACTTTGTTATTTTATATCTATCACATCATAGCATCTAAGACAAAACTTCAATATCCTGTCGTTCATGTATTACATGAAGAAGAAATGGTTTTAGATGAATGAACTTCAACACAAAATGCTGATTCTACAGAAACTTCAGACATACTGTTGAGGTCAACAGAGCATATTTTGAGAACACGTAACCAAACAAACAAAAATAGCATCATTGTCATATTACAATCTCTATGTGTGATTTTCAAGTTCTGCTCACATAGCTGGAAATGAAATGTGTCAAGTAGCACATGATCCATCCTCAAAAAAAAATGGTATGAAGATATTAATCATAGAGTAAAATTAACATGAAACTTGTATTATGGGATAAAGTTAAAAAGTGTATCTGTGTCTGTGTCTGTGTGTTCTATTAAAATGCCCTTCTCCAAGTTTTCTTCGACATACTTAAAGTTAATGAGCAAAGCAGAAACTGTGAATTTTTCCAGTAAGCATGATGATTGTGAATGGTTTCCATTTCAAACTGTTAAACTAGTCACAGAAAGCTTTGAAAAAGTCCATGTATTAATCAGTTTGTTATTATGATTTGTTAAGTTCCAAAGCAGGAGCCTCCAGATCTACGTCACTCGCTCTCAATACTCACCTCACTCGCTATCTCGGAAGCTCTTTTGGCATGCTGAATTCCAAGGGTGTCAGTGCCAACTAGCATTCCCTTCCCTTTAATTTCTGATTCCAGGTCTTTCTTGTATTCTTTCTATAAAAAAGCAACATTTCGCAATACTCAGACACTGAGGGGACAAAGACATATCTGTATTCAATGATGCCAAAAATAGTTAAACATGTCTTTTTTTTTTTAAAGAAGAAAACAGAGCTTACTTTGTACTATGCATGATCACCTAGACCTAAATTTTCTGAACTGCTTAGAACTATATTCACTATCCTCACTGAAGAAGAGTATATACACCCTCAAGATTTTAGCTATATAAAGGCAATTGCCAGGTGACAATCTTCACTGACAACTGTCTTGGGGTCAGAAGGATTGGAAGGCAAGTTTAATTAAGTGGATTTTTTAGAAAGAAGACTGTGTGGTCAGAGCACTCGTGGCCACGTGAGTGATACTGGGACTGTTTCTTCACATTTCTGGTTTACTCATCTGCAAAATGAGGATTATAGTTCCTCTGTGCAGGATCACTGTGAGGATCGCTGAGACTGCAAGTAGCCTACTGCCCAGAAAAGAGTGGGTTTTCTGTAACTGATAGCTTTTTTCCAGTTTTTTACTCCTATATCCACATGCTAAGGCCTGTGGATATATTTATTGGTGCTCCTGCCACTGTCTTGCCATCAACTCTCTTTGGATGAACTCTGCCACTGAGAGCTTGAAAAACATTTCCCAAGTATTACTGATAAGTAACTTACAAAATTGAACTCTGAATGTCACTAGATATATCACACACAACAGAAAAAAATTATAGAAAATTACTGCTATAGATAAGTGTGGTGACAATGTTAGTCCAAGACATCATGGTGGACAGTGTTGTTTCTGCCTTTTCTGGCAAAAAGTTCCACAATTTTCCCTTAAGGAATTACCTCTAATCTGTCTTAATCCATCAACTCTGGGTGGGTTGTTCTGGGGTGAGTATGATTTTTCCTACATATATTTTCAATTCCACTAAAATGCTTTTAATATTTCTTTTAATTTATGTAAAAAACATAAGCCAAAGATGCATATAAATCTTTAAAAAATACATATCAATTTAGAACACTTTATACTTAAAACACCATTAAGATACTAGAAAGTGAGCTGAACAATGGTAACCCTGAGAAACATACTAGATCATCAGCACATGACTTTCCTCTGACTCCAGAGAGAATGACTGGGTTGAGTCTGGGCGCAAGACAGAAGGTGGCTCATTAAGACTCAATCCTTAGACCTTAATCATATTGTAAGCAAACAGAGATGAGTTACTCTGTCATGAAGAGGGGGCTTCCCTGGTAGCTCAGTTGGTAAAATATCTGCCTGCAGGAGACCCCGATTCAACTCCTGGGTCGGGAAGATCCACTGCAGAAGGGGTAGGCTACCCACTCCAGTATTCTTGGGCTTTCTTGTGGCTCAGCTGGTAAAGAATTCACCTGCAATGTGGGGGACCTGGGTTCGATCTCTGGGTTGGGAAGATCCCCTGGAGAAGGGAAAGGCTACCCACTCCAGTATTCTGGCCTGAAGAATTCCACAGACTACATAGTCCATGGGGTCACAAAGCATCACACATGACTGTCGTGAAGAGGTGCCATCACATAGAAACAGCCTCTCAAGAGCAAAGCAAGAGTGAAGATAACAGAAGAGACAGATGAAGGAAAAGGGACAGTATTCAAATTCCAACCTGAAAGTGATCCTCAGATTTCTCTGTTCTTAAACCAAAACAGTTTCTTAATCAGGTTTGACTTGAGTTTCTATCACGTGCAACCTGACTAATACAGTCACACCAACATCATCATTGTGATCATCATTATCATTACCATGGTTTATTGACATATGTGGGTAAAGTCTTAAATTTCTTCACTGTTAAAGTCAGCTAGACTCTCCTCAAAGACAGTGTCATTATTTGCTAACAAAGTAATGAGATAACACAAGGATTAAAGAACTTACAGCACTTCAGAGGCGCTTCATTCTTAAAAAATTTCATGTAAAGTGAGTAATGGCCATTTTCATTTTATAGAGGTTTAAGTGGACTCAGTAGCTAGCCAAGACCTGGGACAGCCAGTGAGCATGTGAACTTTTAAACTGTAATTACTACCAGACTACCTTCCTAATCTGCCTTTCACTAGTTTAAAAGATGACATTAAATCTCCTTCAATTATTTTGGTTAAGTATATAGAATTTTTTCTGAAATAAGGAAATGTTCATTTTTCTCATACCACATAGACAGGAGATGGTGAGCATCCTTTTTTTAAAAAATTCATTGGTTGCAAAAAGATTACTAGACATAATGCTTATTACCACCTTACACATAAAAGCTGCAGAACATTTATATACAGTTAACACAGACAACAAGAGGGTTAATGCCTATTACTTATCGTCAGCCCTCCACGAGAGGTTCCTCCACATCCGAGGATCCTCAGCATTCACAGATTCAACCAATCATGGACTGTGGAGGATTGCAGAATTTACAATTGAAAAGTATGTATAAGTGGACCTGCACAGTTTAAGTCCATTTTGTCCAAAGGTCAACTGTATAATCTCTGAGAAAGACTTACAGACAAGGAAATCAGCTGAAAATTCATATATTCTCAATCGTTAAATAAATGAACTCACCTCACTAGTCATTTCAGATGCTCGTTTTGCTCTTTGAATATCAAGTACTTCGGAATTAAGCTCCATTCCTTTCCCTTTTATTTCATTTTCCAAATCCTTTTTATATTCTTTCTATGAAACAAGAATATTACTGTTTGAAATTTACTGGGAAACTCTTTAATTTATATACTGTTTTATATGTGTTTCCAGAGACCACAGAAAGAAAATATTTCTAGAAAGGAATGAACCAGATTTCCAAGCATTCATGCTCTTTATTTCCTACAGATACTTCATTTTCTCTTTTAGTCATGGTTGTGTGGTTTCCAATTCTATCAATCTTTTTTCTTTTATCCTGTCTTCCCACATGTTTTGGCACCATATTGGAGCCATATTTTTAAAAGATATCTTCCCTTTCTTAAAATTTATTTATTTTTTTATTGAAGGATAATTGCTTTACAGAATTTTGCTGTTTTCTGTCCAACCTCAACATGAATCAGCCAAAGGTATACATATACCACCTCTTTTGAATCTCCCCCCCATCTCCCCTTCCCTCCCACCCCTCTTCCCTTTAAATGGTAAGGAAGGTCTTAAGAATGCATGCTTCTTACTAATTACTTGAAGTATTTCTTTGAAAGCTGTCTATAAAATATGATTCATTAAAAGAACATAATTGGAAAAGAGCGAAAAATTACAAAAATCAAAAGGACTAATTTAGCCAATTTTTTGTTTCCATTTTATTCAACGATATGTAAAACCAAATAATTTCCTACAAATTGATAATATATAGTCTGAATTTCACCCATTTTAACATAATATTTTAAGTAGATCCAAATGTCTTTAATCTGTACATATAATATGGTTTTTTTGGTTTGTGCTAATGAATTTGTCTTCTTACTAATTGAATTATGAAAACAATGTATATCTTAATCCAATTCAGTTAAGTTGCCTTTATGACTAACTTGTCAGATGAAAGATGAGACTTCCTTTAAGGATAAGAAATCATATTCTAGTTAATTCTAGGGTTCATTTGATGTTATTTTCTCTTTGTCCAGTTTAATTAAATTAGCTGGTCCTCTGCTTAACTAATAGCCTACAAGACATTGTAATGACCTGCATGTAATTTTGGAAAGAGCTCTGGAGTCAAATGACCTGGATTCTTTCACTTGTTGGTCTTGTGACCTTCAAGAGGACTTTAAGTAACTGAGCCTTGATTTTCACAGGGACAAAATGAAAATAAAAATACTTGCTATACCAGTGTCAAGGACAACTGAGGGAATCAAATTAAATATAAAAAGATACATTACATGACAACAGCAATGCAAAAACCATAAAGAATGCAAAGACAATTTGAAGCTAAATGCTTACACATTTAAAACAAAGTCACAATTTCATTAAGTCATGAGTCTCTTTTTAAAATTAGATATCAGTATCACTAACTTAATTAAAAGATTTTTAATCATAGTCTCTGGGCTTTTTTCTTATACTGATGCATACATTCTGAATCAATAAGTCTAAAATAAGATTCATTCACAAGGAAAAACAAAAGAAAATGGCAATGGTATGTATATTAAAGTCATTTACAATTCTCAAAATAGATCTCACATTTTCATTTGTATGTAAATAATAAAAAGACTCTCTTTTTAAAAATTCATGTAAATAGTGCATATTATTTAAATAGAAGACAATAATAGCAGGAAGTTGTCACGTGATCACCCTTTAACTTCAAAAAATTTTATAGGAACTAGAAGTGAGAAGAGATAGGGTAGCAAGAATTCTCTTCCATGATATGCCTACTTCAGCCCAGCATACATTGCAACAGTGAATTACATTAAATTTCTATGAGTAGCTAAATGCTAAAGCCAGCTGGTGTTTCGTCATTAAAGAAGATCATGATGATTAATATCTATGCAGGTAATTATACTCTGTTCCACTGGTTTAAGACAGAGATAGTTTCTTCTTTCAGGGAGAGTTTCTTCCACTCAAAATTTAGGAAAAAATGGAGTTCTCTGATGCTTTCTCTTAATGTAAAGAGAAACTATTGTCTACGGCCATACCACCCTGAACGCACCCGATCTCGTCTGATCTCGAAAGCTAAGCAGGGTTGGGCCTGGTTAGTACTTGGATGGGAGAAATTATTTAAACAAAGAACTGAAAGAGTTCCAAGTTACTTAGAAACTATTAAAAAAAAAAAAGCAGAAACAAAAAAAAAACTTTTAAACTGTGAACATGATATTTTTAATTGTTAGATTTGAGGGCCTTAATGTTCAACAAATTTAATAACATTGTGAGCCAAAATGTACCACTAAGTTTAGGGGTTGGGGGGAAATGCTGCTGAGTATAAAATGAAAAATGGAAATGAATTCTTATGCTGTATGTGCTAAATATATTATTTTTTCCCTACTTAGAACACAAGCCACTTATGAATGTACCATTTATCCAGACCTTCACACATCACCTCATTTCTGATATCACATGTCATAAGAACGCTGCAGAGAAGTTACAGAAAAAGCTGGTTCTAATATGTAGTTTATAATAACTAAATTTGAGAGAATCCAGCTAACCTCATCCACACTAAAAATATTTTTTTAAAAAACTAACTGCTGTAAAGCTATAAAACTACTTGTAGGGCCTCTAAGCTACAAGCCAAACATAAAATCAAAGTATTTTTCAAGTTTTTCAAGGAAATCTGGGTAATTTCGTCCTTCAACATTAAATGGAAATATTAACACTTTCCTGTTTTTAATGAAAACATAAAACTGTATTAGTGAAGGTCAATGTGAATGAAAGAGTAATGGATGAATAACACTGAATTCGAGAATTAATAGAGAATTGATTAGTGCATATTTTCTGGGTTATTTCTTTAAATTTCTTCTGCAGAACTACAGAGTAAATAGTAGGACCATACCTCTTTCAGAAGGTTGGTGATGTACTTTACATGTAAAAACTCTGGAGTCTTGTCTAAATCCATTGATGACCTTCCTTTAATGTCCTTCTCAAAATCCTCTCTGTAAACTTTCTGTAAAGTAAGACCACATAATTTTAAATTTAGAAAATACCAGTGACTGTTGAAAAGATAACAGAACAAGTGTTCCTGGAACAAAATCGATGTTTTTCTTATATAATTCTATCACCTCTGAGTCTTCCCACTAACAACCTTAACATAATATCTCAAATCATATGCTACCATCATTCCTAATACAGAAATGCAACATTAGGATATATTAATCATGCATTTACATTCCAGGATTTCTTGGTGAGAAGAAAGTAAGTGAACTTGTACAGGAAAAAAATCAAGGAACCGTGAGACCAGAATGGTACAGGCGCCCTCAGCGTGGGTGTCCCCGTGACTGAGGAAGAGGTACGGGGAAGTGGAGTCAGCAGGCCCAGGAGAGAATGAGGGTAAGCCCGAGACACCAGTACCTCCTTCTTCATGTTGTTGTCAGAAAAGTAACATGATTTTTTGAGACCTGTGTCTCTCAGGTAAATTTACCTGACAACTTCATATAGTCTTAAACTTCCAGAGAACCCAAATGGCTCATGAAAGTAGAAACCTTTATCTGGACTGTGGTTCACTGACAGCAAGACAGAGGGAAATCAATTTGAAATCTGGCACTAGCAATGACGGACATGAATGGGCACTAACAGCAACTAGCAGTGAAAGAGAAGAAGGCGATGTGAAGGATATATACAGTACTTTATGTACTGTTCTTAGAATGCAGACAAGGTGCTATGGACTGAATATGTCCCTCCAAAACCCGTATGTTGATCCCCTACCTCCCCACAACAAGAGGACATCAGGAGGTGGGGCCTTCAGGACGTGATGAGGATTAGATGAGGCCACCATACACGAGAGACTGTGAACGGGATTCACGTCCTTCAGAGAGTCACTAACAAGCCTGCTTCCTTCCCCTCCCTGCTCTCCATCATGTGAGGACACAAGAAGGCAGCAGTCTGCAGCCCAGGATTCAGCACGCTGGCGCCCTAACCTCAGACCTCCAGCCTCCTCAACTATGAGAAATAAGTTTCTATTGCTTAAGCTACCCAGTCTGTGGTACTTTGTTACATAACAGACTAGAACAAAAGATATTCCACTGAGTCATCCCATTAAATGTGAGTTTTTGTAGGGCTTTTGAATTTTGATCAAGTTTACCTGCTCTGTCAATTCACTTCAAAAGAACTGACTGATTCAGGTTAAACAGTCACTGAACCATTCTTGATCAAATTCCTTTATTGGCTCAAGAAAATACAAGATATGAAAAATACAAGTAATTATTTTCGCTCCTCTCCCCTGAAGAAGAAATTAAACAATTCTGAAATTCAACAAGCCACAGTAATCTGCATGCCCTTTGTCTGAGAAGATGTATCATAACATTTCAACAAAGCACATGTGATGTTTAGTAAATTCCTAGGAGGGTTTTGCTGTCTAGAAATTATCATTTCTTGGGAATTTCCTGGAGGTCCAGTGGTTAGGACTTGGTGCTTCCACTGCCAAGGCCAGGGTTCAATTCCTGGTCAGAGAACAAAGATTCCACAAGCCACGCAGTGCAGCCAAATAAAAAGAAGAAATAAATTATCATGTCGCCTTGTTTTGATGTTGTTTTTAAAAACTAGAAAAGATTTGCCCATTGAGCATGCCTGGAGTCTAGCATGTGGTTGTAACCAGCTGATAGTAACTGCCCACTACTTCTGTCCCTTTGAAGTAAAAACTTGGTTGTACCCACAGAAATTTGATGTGTCTGTAGACAAAACCATCTGTGTCTGGTGTCTGATTCCCCTCTGCCCATCCTCACTCCCTCTGCCCCCCCCCCCAAAAACAACAGAAGAAATCTCATTGGGATAGACAGGAACCAGTATCAGGTGACTATGTGGATGTGACCTAGCATTATCTTAAGTAGAGAATTAAATGGATAAGTAGAAAAAAAAACTTATAATTGATCTCTTCTCGTGATGCCTTGAAACTTCCTTGAAAGTTTCTGATGTCACTGATTATTAGCCAGAGGTAGGGGGAGAATCAGTTAAATAAATTAACAGGAAAAAGGGAATAATTCATGAATTTTACCCATTAGCACTTATTAGATAAGTAATTTTAGGTAAGACAATTAATTTCAATGGATGCATTATCAGTCTAGGAATATACCTACCTACCATCATTACCTTGAGAGGATTAAATGAGCCAACATATATAAAACATTCAGCCTGTCACCTAGCACAGAGTAAGTACTTAACAAATGTTAGCTCTATTTTCATTACAAAAAAAGGGTAAGTAAAGGAACCAGCCCTTCATTTTCCTTTTAGTTTTTATCTGCTCATCATAATTTTACATGGACACAGCCTGAAAGTGTTAATTTTATCATCACAGAATGCAAGAGCTCACCTGGCCTAGTATTCATATTTGCCAAATGGGGAAAGCTGGGAAACTGAGAGCCAGGAAAAAAAAAATCAATGACCTGGACTAGATGCCTGAGTCTATAGTGCAGATCCCTTGGTCTGGCCAGTGCAGTATACTTTCTTCCGGACGCACGAAACCCTCTGAACCACTCTTTCGATGACAAAACATCAAATTTGCTCTAAATAGTTGATAGGAAAACAAAAAGACTCACCTCACTCTGCATCTTCTGAGCCTCCTTTGAAACTTGATATGACGGTGTCTCAACAAATTCAAGCATCGATTTCCCCTTATTTTTCTCATACGCTTCTTTGTACTTCACCTTCATAAAAAAAAGTATAAATGGCACATAAAGCGCACAAGCCCTTACACAAACAAAGTAAAATAAATGTATGTGCAAAATCGATCACCCTATTTTCTAAAAATCACAATGTTCTGGCCATCTGATCACTAGGTTCCCTGTGGTTAATGATATACAAAGAAAGGAAACAGGCAACATATTAAAGTTTTTAAGGGATATGAGTGGTTTAGAATTAAATAATGTAGTTCTAGGACTTGTATATGTAAACAGATGGGATAGACAGATACATATCACATGTGGAGTTATATATGTAAACACACATGCCATTAATACACACACATGTATAGGTACATATATACATATGTACATAGGTACATAGAGAGAGAGAGAAGACACAGAGAGGCTGAGACAGAGGAAAAAAGAGACAGATCACTGTGATAACTTTGATGCCTATCAGTAAATCACGAACAAGAAGAAAACCAGAGCTGTGACAGTCTGCCTTTCTGACAAAGGAAGGACAGTGTTCTTCAGGACTGCTGAATTTTCCCACAGACGGTGAGTGAAACACACACAGCGCGTTTATATGACTTCCTTCAGTTTCGCTAAGCACTATTTAATCAGACCATATCATGAATTATTTACTCATTACAACCAATCTTTATCTATTTCGGTTCATAAAATGATCAATATTTTCTACCTCCTAAAAACAAAAACTAGAATTGTATTCCGCAAGCTGCAAGAGTGTTCGGCTTTTTTTTAGCAATACACCTTTTTAAATAAAATTCATAGTTTTGATCATGATTCATTTTATTGAGATATGTATTTTCAGTAGAATCCTTATATATGATGAAATTGGTTCTTAAGCTGCATTATAATAAAAATAATTTTAATGGTATGTAAATCCAAAAGAATCTTTTCAAAACAGAACTTTGTAGTAGCAGAACATATAACAAATTTTTAAATTCCTGTTTTTAGGAATATTTTTGTTTTAGAGAGGTATAATAGAACGATCAATGAAAGTGAACTATGAAAGTGAACACGGTGTTAGGGTAAAATTTTGTGGAGAAACAAAATAAAAATAAAAAGGCAAAGAGAAAAAAAATGTATACTTTTATACCTTAAAGTTGAGCTGGTTTGTATATTTTTTAAATAAATGAAGGTAGGTATCATATCACTATGGAATTTATGTTCCATGGGGTTTATTTAAAAGAGTGATTTAAATTTTATCTTAACAGATGCTGGAAATAATATTTTTTTCAATTACTGAAATTCAGAATTTAAAAAGTTATCAACTTTAATGTATTCAAGGAAAAATATATTTTTAAAAGTTTCTTTCAGAGAGTACACAGAATCTCATAGTTGAAAGAAACATTAAGGCAGAATAGACTGGTAAGATAATTTCCCATTTTTAATACACTTACAACTGAGCTGAAAAATTATAATAAACTTTATGCCTGGAAAATCATACTTTTGCAGCTCAAAATGACCAGTACACTATAAAAGTTTTCAGTATTATGAGATTTGACCATTAGTTAATTAATTAACTCATATCTTGTAAGTTCTAAATTGTGCACAGTAACTATAATATTCTGAAATGCCTGCCTGCCGAAACATGGTTCAAGCATCCCTAACCTAACAAACAGAGCGAGAACAGGGTCTGAGACTTTTCTCACGATGCACGTCCCTCCCAGCAGCTGCACGTTCCCCGTGGAGGCGCCGGCAACGAGCACTGCTGAGTGCAGGCGGGGGAGGCCTCGTACCTGACTCTGGAGCACGGCGTTGCCTTTGTGGTGCAAGTGTTCCGCAGCATCCACGTCAAAATGATACGTGCCTTTGTTTTCCTCGAAAACCTTTCTATATTCTCGCTAAAGAAAGAACACAAAAATAAAGTAAGAATAGAAGGGTCTGTTAAGAGCAACTGATACTTAGGAGGGCACGATGAAAAATGCAAGCGAACGAGAGTTGCAAAGCTGCTAAGTTCCCATCTGCTGTCAGCTGGTCGTGTGGACTGCTGACCCCGAGCTAAAGCGGCAGTGGGAGACAGACCAGCTCTAGGTGGTCCGAGTGAACAGCATCTAAAACACTCAAGAGAAGCAGAGGACTACTGGCTCTAAAGCCAACATAAATAATATCTGCAGCGCTGGGAGGTGACAGCAGAAAAGCCCGTAACTTCTGTGAACAGGCAAAGTGGGCAAAATAAGGCAATTCGTCTTGCCCTTATCCTAGAACAGAAATGTATTTATTAATAACTGCATCTACAAGAAGAGAAGGAAAGAAAAGAAGAACAGATGCAAGGAAATCTGGAGTCAGGAAAGTAAAAAAAAAAAGTTGTATGTAACGGATCATAAGGAAAATGAGAGGGAGAGAAATAATTCAACTGGCTTTCCTAAAAGGAGAAGGTAGGAGGTGGCTGAAAGAGAAACCAAGGAATCTGGGTATGGTTGGTTGAATTTTTAAGGTGAAGAAACTGGATTAAGGCACTTTTTAGACATACGGACAAAAAGGTGAATTTGGAAGAGAACAGAATGGGTAAGAATGCCAAATTTGGCAAGTGTAGTACTCTAAACCACAGCAGGCAGCAAAAAGACAAACATTGCTTTATGATTTTTACCACTGGAGATTGGACACTTAGTAAGTTTGCCTTATTTGGAAAAGACTTTTAGAGGGAAATCAAAGACTCGGGTATCCAGAGACTTAAGCTAAAGTTGGTCGCTTCTTAGACAATGAGGATTTCAATGAAAATGGCAATTTAGTGTAGACGGAAGGGAGAGGTAAGCAGCATTAGAAAGCGAGCAGGAACAAGCTAGGACACTTAGGTCTAAAACATGCTCCAGTAATCCAGAGTGAAACAAGAGGCAGCATCAGTGCCAAGGATGGGAAGGACGGAAGGTCCGAGTGGCCTACACAGGAAAACTGCTTTCCTTAGGGACACAGCAAGGTCCCCAGAGGCATTTTCAGTCAAGTAGGGAACTAAGACATGTATCGCCCAAACTCTAACCAGAATACTTTAAGGGAAAATAGCACCCCCAGGAAGCTCATGAAAATGTTCACATAGTATATCTTGACCAAAGAGAACAAGTTCTGAATTTTAGCTTCTCTGCTAATTTTTTTAAAAGATAATTTCAAAGAATAACAATATACTTAGAGATGTTATGATTTGATTAGAAGTAATTTTATAAAATATATTTATAAAATAGATATGAAATGCATGTAACAAGCTAGGATACATTCCATTACTAAGTTAAAATCCAGAACTAATAAAGTCTAGAATTGTATCTGGAATAATGGTCATAGACTGAGAAAAGGTCAAAAAATACTGTCCCTCACTTAATGATCTATTTTAGTTACACAGAATTTCAGAAATTCCTGTTTTTAAACCAAAGAATATCACCCTATTTGAACTAAGATCTGCAAAAGAATGATCAATACTTGCTTTTTCTTATATAATAGTCTCTGTTGCCTCCTAGTGGGAGTAACAGAGTAACACAATATACACTTTTTTAATTTATGCAAAGTTATTAAAAAAAACAAACAAACTGAAAGCTAACAGTGTTCTATTTTCCAAAGAAAAATATCCCCCCCCCCAGGTTAATCAGTATGGTTGTACAAACTAATAAGGCACTAATTTTACTCTACACAGTAAAATTTTTCAAATTACGATTTATATCAAAGACATTTAGAGGTCTTTAAAACCCAGCCATTTATAACAAACTGACAACTAATTCTGGTAGAATGCCTGTTTAAGCATTCTCTTACTCAATCTTTTGATAAAATTAAGTTGTCTTTATAAATCAACAAAATTCTAATTCTCTTTACATTAAAATTTAAAAGAAGGCAATTTTGACATACAATAAATTTGAACCAATGTAATATTGTGCAACTTTAATAAGTAGAGATTTCAGAGTAACACGTTTTTTGACTCAAATTTTCTCTTCATGAAGCAACTGGTCAGTTACAATTTTTCTGTGGAGAAAAACTATGATCTAGAAAAAACGAAGGTTTAAACTTTACAAGTGGTATATAAAACAAGTGTAATATATGAATTTGTTGTGTTTTCTTAAAGAGAAAATAAAAACAATTACTATTACTGTTTTTCACCACTATTATAAAATAAAGGTCAATATTTTCAAAAAGAAATATGGCCTATGAGTGGCCTACATTTTTCATGGTAATCCAAATTTTTGAATTATAACCAGGACATTTTTGCTGACTTATTTCTACATGAATCCTCATGTCCAAAGGAAATTAACCCAAACAGGGATGAGGAAGAGTCAAGGTCAAGGGCGACTGCAATGATCAAGCTGGATGAGCCAAGACTACCTATGAAGAAAGCAGAGGCTCAGATCTCAGAAATATACTGATTTTTAGAAGCACATCTCTGAGTCGTGGTTAAAATTGTGCAACTGAAGCAGAGTCGCTCAAGAAACAGGAGTGTCTGCACAGAGGAGGATGAGCATTGAAATGGCAGGACAGCAGGAATTAAGTGTCCAGGGACCGAGTCTAATTCTGCACCTGACGGTCTTCCAACCTTCATCCCTGCTCAACAGATGGGAAAGAATAATGGGCTGCTTTGCCTCCAAAGACCAGTGGTACTTAATTAATTAATTTCTTCTATGAATATGAATTCACACAGATAACACTTCAAGTGCAAAATAATGAACAGAAGTTTCAACATTTCAAAGCCAAATGTAGGCATTTTTAAACCTGAACTGAAGTTGTTATCTCATTATTTAATGGTCTGGGAAGCAGGTTATAACTACGGAGTTTTCTCATCCATGACTGTGGGCACATCTCCTGAAGAAGACTGTTTTCACTTTTTAACATTCTTTGATGATATACTTTTCCATCAAATCTGTGCCTGATCCAAGACAGATATATAATAAATGCAGATAATTTTTGAGTGAGTCATTATTAAAATAGGCATATAAATAACTTGAGGTCAAATTAGAGTTCATCATCCTGACATGGGGGCATTCTGAGGTGTAGGAAACAGAGGCACAGGTGAGCAAGGGTCATCAGTAATGAAAGCCAGTGACATCAGGGCTCAGAGGCACTGCGTGTTGGAAACAGCATCTAAGAGCCAAGTTCTGATGCAATGGGCCACTGGGCAGTGGACACAGATATTTAATTAGGACACCCTCCCCTCCTTGTTGTGTTGAAGAAAACATGGAAACCTTCACAAGACTAGAAGTACAGCAGCAGTGCAAACACTCTTGAGACTTATTTTTAGAGAAGACATAATTCAGACTAAGACAACTTTTATGCTACTGAGACCTTCTGAGTACCAGACACTCTGCTCTGGCCTGCATAAAATAAGACTGCTGACTTAAGAGCCTGACCTCCAAGTGACTTCAGTCTACTACAAAGAAAGGGGAAGGAGAAAGACAGAAAGGATGCTCACATAAACACTTTGAAGAGTAGCTATTCCACAAGAAAGTTTGTATTCAAAAGATATTAAAGAGCCAGCTTTGTAAAGCAACAGCCTGGGTGGGATTTAAGCAACAGACACTAGTGTCCATGAAGTTAGTTACTGAGTGGGGGGTGAAGGCCAGGCTCGCCTTAGGAAGCAGGTGAGCTCATAAGCACTTCAGACACGTGGGCGCCACGGAGTCACAGGTCTACACTAGCCAACACAGGACCACTTACTCCGCTTAGCATTTTGCTGACTTTCAAAGCGTGGTCTAAGAACAAGTTTGGGAGACCTGAAACTGGATCATGCATATTCTGAATGTCTTTCTTGTACTTCACCTATAAAAATAACATGGAACAAAATGCCATCTAGGGGAAGAAAATACTATGCTTTTGCATTATGGCCATTATTATTTTAAACACAACCAAGTATTATTTAATGGTATTAAATTAAATGAATTCACAAGCAGCCACTAGATGGTGCTCATTTACTACTGAATGAATAAAAGTTATTCCCAGGGACTTGAAAGTATTTTGATAACTCCTTTTATTGTTTATATTCTCAAAAAGAGTGACGTTAACAGAAACAAGTAACTTAAACAGAAACTCTACTTTCAAAAAATAAAGAAAATAGAAGCTTTACTCTTTAGAAATTACCACTGTCTTCCAATTATATTTTGTATCAATTTTAGAACCTTTAGTAGTTTTCATCCTATTGCTATGTATACCTTTTCAATCAATTGCTTTAGAAATATAAAATGTTAATAACAGAAAACATCAAACACTTACCATGAGTCAAACACTTTTCTATTTAAACACTTAATATGTATTAAGCATGCTCCACAATCTTAGCAAGTAAATACTTTAAGTATCCTCATTTTACACAGGAGGAAATTGAAACACAGAAGGACGCAAGTGTAATATTAGGTGGTGGAGCAAGATTCAGACAACCGATTCTAAACCTTGAGCTTTCAATGCCATGCTGGAGGTTCTTTTAAGTATATTCCTGCCATACTTGCTTTATGCTTGTACACACACAAAAATAATCAAATAAGAAAAAATGAATTATTAGAATATTCCCAAAGGTCCTAAAAGACAGAAACACCCATTTCAATTGCTAGTAACAAAATCTGGTTAATGAACACAAATTATGATACCTTCTAAACAGGAACGAAAGTAAAATATACTAAGTCCTCCAGATACAAAAGGAGTTGAAAGGTCTAAATGCTCTAACAAAGGAACAGTTCAACAAAAGTCAAACTTAATATTTAAAAAGGTACTCTAAGCATCATTCAACTATTTAATTTTTTCTATGTTCATTTTTATACTCCTCCTAATCCTAATAAAAATTTAAGGTATATTTTCTTGTAAATTGAAACTTTATTTTTAAAGATATGAAATGAAAACAAATCTTATGAAGAGGTATTTCACAGAATTTACATAAGGGATAAGAAAGAAATTGTAAGCTATCTCAAGAACAATTTCTGGAAATTTCCTTGTGATATACTACTATGTTCCAGGTATATTTTACAATATTCACAATTTTATGAGCATAATTACATGGGCTAACTACTGTCATAATCATTAGTTTATGATACTACACACTATTTTTCTGAAAAATTCTATAATCTATTTCGACTCTTGATCAGCTATAATACTAACAGTTTTGCCAATAAAACTATTCCTACTTATTAATTAGTAATCAGTAACACTTTTTTTTTTTTTTTTTCAGAAAAGCTTCAAGAATATAAGCTTCAGTGTTTTCTAAAATTATTTGGCAATTACATGATCTTGATTAAGAATCACAGTTAGCAGACAGCCAAGTCTATCAAAACAAGAATCAAAACATACTGAAAATAATACACTGCAAATTACCAATCATGAGGCAGAAAGCAACTTACATTGCTCGCCAGGGCAGTGGCCAGCTGACTTTGCCTAAAAGAAGCACTTTCAAGAGGATTGTAAAGATGTTTCTTATCCTTCATTTCACTATCAAATTTTTCTTTGTATTTAATCTGCCATAAAAGAAACAGGAAAAATTACATAGCACATTTACCTTCAAGCTTTCAAAGCAACACGTTTGATTTCTAATTAGATCAAATAAAAGCTACCTTAAAAATGTACAACAGCAGAGTTTAAATACCTGGTATTTCCCCCCATATAAAGCTTAATTAGGCATAAAGGTGTTTTTTTTTTTAATTAAAAAACACCTCTACTTGAACATGGATCATAAATGCAATTAGGCATGAACTCAAATCCTATTAACAAGAATTATATAGAATCTCAGGGTTTTAAAATGTCAGTTTCCATTTCTGCATTCCTAACATCTATGATCTATTAGAAATCGAGACCACAAATGTCCTAACATCTATCACATTTAGAGAACAGGTCCCAAATATCAGAATTTGAACATTAATTTTCCTAAAAGAATGACTGCAAATGCAAGACAGAGCTCCTACCATGGTTTTTCTCATCATTTCCCCCTTATTAAAAAACTCATTGTTAGGGATTATGTATTCTAAAACATCCTGGGCCTATTTAATGTCATTTATTATTTCTCTGCTTTCACTCCACAGTTGTTTTCAGTGGCAGAACCATCTCCAACTTTCACTGTGGATTTTTTTTTTTTAGCTAGTCTTAAAGCAACCAAATGGCTTCCCTTGTGCCTCAGATGGTAAAGAATCTGCCTGCAATGCAGGAGACCTGGGTTCAATCCTTGGAACAGGAAGATCTCCTGGAGAAGAGAATGGCAACCCACTCCAATATTCTTGCCTAGAGAACTCCATGGACAGAGGAGCCTGGTAGGCTACAGTCCATGGGCTGCAAAGAGTCGAACACGACTAAACAATTCTTTACTAAAATAAAACAAAAATGCTAGTCTAATTTATTTAACTATTTAACTGCTTTAATTCCTGTAGCCAGGAAAGGATGCAGGTAGGCAAAAGCAAAAGTAAGCTGTTTTGTCCTTTTATATCTTATTATATTATGATTCTTACATTATTTCTTTCTTTACAACATTCAGAATGCACATTCATCCATACAGCCTAAGACTCTGCCTTGCAGAAACCTTTAGAAAAAAGGCGGTTTCGGAACAGCTCATGTTACTCCCTTAAATCTAGTGTGTACTGGGTGATGGTCTCCCTCAGGGATACACGCTGGTTCCTCCGGGAGGGAGCTGGTAAAAATCCTGATGGGAATACATTTGGAAAACATTTCAAGATGGTTCACATGCAACAGTTTCTGTTGCAGTTTCATTTGCTAATAATACTTTGTGATCATCATATTATCTTATAATTTCAAGCAAAATCTCACTTATTATAATTAATAGGCGAGGCCTCCCTAAAACAAGAAAAGCTTCAAGTTTTAGAAAGTCATTTTATCTTGAAATCAGGGACACCACCACCAATGCAGTCAATTTAGATCTCCTTCACTACTGTCCACAGTAACTGGCACCAAAGCCAAGATCCTCCGTACCTGGTCCTCTGCCAAACGCGCGATTCCACTCCTCAATACCCCCTGCTGTGCGCGTTTCACAACATTCTAATCTGTGTTTTTGTCTCTTCTAGGTTTTAGTGCCTGACAGGTATTCACTTGACTACAGTCGTAGACTCTCTGAACTGACTTCCCCTAGAATGGCACTCCCGACTCAGCCAGATCCACCAACACTGTCCAGCGATCAAGGAAAACATTCTGCCCGATGCTGAGGTGCCAGGAACACTCTCAGCTGGTAGCTCTTTCCATCTAATCGACTGATCCTGCTGTGAAACATGGGCTCGCATCAAGTATCCTTTCAGTCACTCATAAGTCCCCAACCTCAGGCACCACGAATGTCTTAGTTATGTATTAGCTAAATGGCAAGAACTGGTTACAGTTTTTTCAGAAATATACATTTACCCGGAAAGAGCAAACACCAGGTTTAATAACAGTTGAGAATGCGTCAGGCGAATTCCCAAGTTAACACCCCCACTCTGTGCTGTGTGCTCCTAGTGCAACGGTGCCGAGAACTACAGGCGGTGGTACAGAGGTGGAATGATGCACCCTCTGTGCTCAAGCATCATGGAACCTAGTCTCATCATTTAGCTAATATGTAACTAAGACACTCGTGGTATACCTGAGGTTGAAGAATATGAATAACTGAAAGAAAAGTTGATGCAAGCCAGCATTGCTCAGCTGAATTAACTGATTAGATTTAAACACTTCAATACAAACAGAACCCTGCATTTTTTCATCTGGTGTTTTACAAGACAAACTTTAGTAATAGTAACCTATTTTTTAAGTAGAATATTTTCATTGATTTCTGAAAGATATAGAAGATAAATCTGAAGTATATTTTTACGAGTATATTGTTTTGAATAGTAACCTATTGTTAAAGGTGAGTTTTCCCTGGAAATACAAGATTAGACTATTTTCTAAGTTTTGGACATAGTTGAATTATCTGCTCTGCCATTAAACAGTGAGCAGGAAATAGATTTCTATTCATTTTTGTATCCCTAGTACCCACCACAGTACTTTGAATGGATCTGGCACTTAATATATGTTCTTTAAAGAAATGTATAGATTAATGATGAAAACGATAAACAATCAACCATCTTTTCACACTCACACCCTCAGGTAGGTGTTGGAACTATAATATTCTAATTTCCCAAATCTGTTCCCCCAACACACAATCCCCACAGTCACTGCTAAACTGATTTGAACAACAATCTATTGGGAAGAGAAAAAAGGCAAAAGGAAATGAAAAACAATAGATATAAAAATAATATATTGCATCTATATTATACTAAACACATATAAATATGTATTTTAAAAGTGTGGCAGTTCTTGCCACACTTTTCCTTATTAACTAATACGTTTAGGAATTACTCATCTAATGCACACTCGGCATCACTAACTACCCTTAAAGAGTGCTATACGGGAAGAGATTTGGGAATTGGTGGGAAACTGTCTTCAAATATTAGCAAACATAGAAAAACAGCATTTGTTCTGCTACCAAAGGTACAGTTAGTGTTGACAGGTAGAAGCTGTAGCCAACAAGATTTCTGCCAATTATAACAGAAGTTTTCCATCAGCGGATCTGTCCACCAGTAGAACTATCTTCTGCTTTCCTGCTCAATTACTGCTCCCTACCTCCTCCCAATGTTCACCTGAATAATTTCTACACATCTTGCAGTTGCCCAAATGTAACTTCTTTCTGAAAATCCTCTCTGACCTTCCAATCTAGAATACTTACTGCTGATATATTTTTTAATCACTCCACATTTATGTGGTCCCTCATCATACATTGCTGCAATTATTTGTAAAACTGTCTCTGGCTATTGGTCTTCCCCATTAGACTCTAAGTTCAGTGAAGGCATGGGCTATATCTTTCCTGTTCACCCTTGAAAATCTAACCCCAAGGATGTAATATCTGTTCAGTAACTGTTTTGCTTGAATGAATAAATGGATGGATTACATTGAGAATCAGGACCAGGTAACTTCCATAGTGTCTCCAAATTTTTTAATAGCCTTGTAATAGATTTTTATGAAAACTTTATTCTTAAAGTTATGCCTGGGGCTATAGACCTTAAAATTTGAATTTTAAAATGGAAATAACCTTTCCAGGTTATTTAAAGATTAATAATTTAAAGTGTACCTGTCATCCATGTACTTCTAATGAGTTTAATAATCAGCAAAGTATTGTGAAATTTATCTTATCCTAAACTTCAGAACTCTGCGTTATCTGATTCAAAAGGTACCTAAAGAACAAGAATGCAAGAGTTTCTCTCATTAATTAACCAAAAAGTAAAATAAATGAATTCCATAAAAAATACATTTACCAGACACTGACACTCAATTGTTTCTTATCATGCTGTAAGGTTTGCATATAAATGAACTAAGAAACTAGCCAAATAGTTCAAACAGGTCCTATCACTCACCTTCTGACTGGTTCACTCACTAACTACACATACACAGAACATTCTATCGTACCATGAATCCACGGTTCACACATTTAATGTCCACCTGTTCACACACACTTGCATCTCCTAAGAAATCAGGATGCTTTCCTTTCATTATAATGGGTGACTCAAGCATGGAACATGGTATTTTTCCTTCCAGTTTCAAGACCACTTGAGACAAGAGGAAATGGGTGTTGGGTGACTTTGCTATGGTTTTAAGGCACAATGTTACCCCTTATACATAAATCAATCACTTTGGAAACAAACAATAAGCTCCACCTATGACTGATTTTACTCATATTATAAATATCATATCCAATGGTCCTGCTATCTACCAACTTTTCAAAAAATACAGGGTAGGCAAATGGGATGAAACTTAAAAGTTTAGTAAGAAAGTTTCACAGACTTAGCAGAACTTTCAGAGGTTCAAACTAGAAAAAAACACTAGAATTGCTCAACCACAGTGACTGAACTTAACCTAGCCCCTCATAACTGCATCCAGGCAGGGCTATGTTTAAATGGCTAAAGTCTGATTTCCCAACTCGGTAGTTCAAAGCTTTCAGCACAAGGGGTATGGGCTTCATGGCATCACCTATGGCTCAGATTTACAAAGGGCCAGAAGAGCAGAAAAAGAGCAGACCCTGAATGAAAGCTTTTCATCAGAGGCACAGAAGCAAATGCTAGGAAAGAAATGGGAAAATGGATACGTGCACTTAATTATCAGTGAAAATGAAAAGTAAACAACAACACAATGCCACACATCCATGGGAGCAATTGCCTCCAATTTTGGATGAAACTGAACTAAAGGCTGTTGAGGAGCGTAAAAATAGATTTTTACGTAGAAGTCATCATAAAGTCAGTGTGTTTAAGTCTGAATTTTACACAAAATATACCCTGCCCTTATTTTCATGACAAAATAATATTTTACTGACTTTGTACCAAATGTGAATGATCTAGAGAAATGTGTTTAATCGGTCTCTATGTATTTCTTGAAAGCTTAATCTGTGCCATTAATGCCATTAAACCCTGTCTCCACAGAGCCTGTTGAGTGGTAGTGAAGCAGATATTTAATACACACACATACCTTTATATGACTAACACACACTGTGCTAAGAACTATGAAGAAAAGCAGAATGAAGAGAAATAGAGAGATATAATTTAAATCAGCAAGTCAAGGATGTGACATTTAAGCCAAAAGTTTGGGGGAAGGAGGGTGGAAGGGTGTGTGCTTGCCCACAATGGGAGATCCTTCAAGCCAATTAATACCCTTTACAATTGAAGGACAATACTTATTCCGTTTTAACAGCAATCTAAGAAGTAACATTTAGGTTTAAAACCCACTCTATTAAATACATCACATGCAACTTTAGAACAAATGCTAATTATTATAAATATAAATTTTTCTCTGATATTATAAAACTAAAGGTATTTCATTCATCACATAAACAAATTTCAGTTCATAAATTAAGATGATAAATGAATATGTTAACAAAACAACCACTCAGAAGAATTTTTTTTTAAATGATGACTTAAATAACTACTGCCCTAATACTTAAGATACTTGTAAATATATCTCTTTATCTTGGCAGGTGAGATTTCACTTTCATTGTTTACTGATTTTCTTTTCATTACTTGGCCATTATCTTACGTGCCCCCTAGACTTTAAAAAGGGAAAGTTTACAACTATGGAAGCAAAGCTATTGGACAAGTTAACATAGGAATGAGTTTTGTTTCCATTCATTACCTTTTCTGGATTCAGTCTCACAGAGCTCAGTTTCCAGATAAAATGGGAGAATCGTGCCCTCTCGCTTTCTCCTCCTGTCTTGTCATCAGGGTGTCTTATCTCTCCACACCACAGGCACTGTCCATCATCGCCTTCTCTCTCACAATCCTGTCTCGCCCTTTCCCCCTGGCATCCTGCATTCTGCCCCAAGCTTCCCAGCTTACTACATTCCTAAATTATTTCCCTTCTGCATATTTGCTTGCCTTTGTGCGCACCTGTATTCATAATCCGTCATTAGTTTAGGAGCAAGAGAATATATGATCTTCAAAGTTGTCAATGAAAATAAGAAACTACACTTTCTGCCTTTGCTTTTAGTCAATGCACCTGAAATACAAAAGATCACACTGAGTCCATTCCAGAAGTTCTGAATATTCATCTGCCCCGTTTCTCCCTTTTCTGATGAGTTTATACACCATGAGATCAGCAAAACGTTCACTAAAAAACAAAAATGTGACTTGCAAATTACAATCTGCTTAAATATCTGATCATTCAGCTGTTAAATGATTTGAGATTTGTTTTTAAGTCTGCCTAAAAAACCTTCGAGCATGCTGTCGCTTCAGTTGTGTCTGACTGTGTGACCCCATGGACCTTAGCCCACCAGGCTCCTCTGTCCATGGAACTTCCCAGGCAAGAATACTGGAGTGGGTTGCCATTTCCTTCTCCAGGGGACTGTCCCAACCCAGGGATCAAACCCAAATCTCCTGCATTGGCAGGCAAATTCTTTGCCACTGAGCCACCTGGGAAGCCCCTAAAACTTTTTCTAAGCACTTGCAAATAAGACTGTGAAGAAAAATTCTAAGACTGAAATTTAAGGGCCAGTCTTACTATACTTCATTTTGTGCAAGAATTCAAAATGCAGAGTGGAAAATTCTTCTGAATAGCTATGGTAAAATTATTCCTGGGAAATAATGCAGTGTTTCTATGGGTCAGGCAATATTTTAAGTTGCTCACAGTAGTTCATTTAATCCTCACAACAACCCTAAGAAGCAGTACTGCTCCATGTCACTTTACAGGTCAGGAAACTGCAGATGGAGAAATTAAGCCACCTGTCCAAAGTCACTCGATGAGCCAGCAGCAAAACCAGGAGCAGGGGTCCAGCTCCACAGCCCTTTTATTAATCACCCAGCCAAGCTGCACAGCTTTTCTACACCACCAATGGACCTCTGTGCCCCCAGAAAAGGCTGAAATCCTAAGTCAGGAAATCTAAAGCGATACTGGAAGAGCTACCAGGTGCGTGCCAATACCCACTTCAGCAAGTGTTGTTTGGACTGAGAAAAGCTCGGAATCACAGCCTTTCTCAGGCCCTCCAGAGCTAAGAACATGGCAGGTCTTCTCAATTGTCCAGATACTATTTTATGTTCTTCAGTTAGATTTTATAGTTCTCCTCATTTACATCTCTCCGTTTTGAAATGTAACCCAATTAAGACATTTGCAACTTGAGGAAAGGACATTTTCAAAGTTGAAAACTCTATATACATGCATAAAAATTACTGTTTGCTGTCATTGTTGACTTTACAAATGTTACCTTTTTCCTTTAAAAGAATTGTTAAATTTTTATATAGTCAAGCATGTCTAATTATTCTTTTAGAGCTTCTGGATCTCCAATTTTAAGAATAACTGTTATCCCTATGTGGTATATACAGTCTCCTGGATTTTTTTTAAGATTTTAAAATTATTTTTTTGTTTACATTCATATCTTTAATCCATCTGGAATTCATTTTGTAGATGGTTTAAGATTCAGGTCCAATTTTATTTTTACCCTGAAGGATGGCCAGTTATGTCAGCACCATTTATTAACTAATATAACTTTCTCCCACTGACTTAAACCAAAACTTTTATCATATATTAAATTCTTATACACATTAGAGTCTATTTCAGGATTCCCCCGTTTAACCTACTGATTATTTTATCTCTTAAATATCAATTCCATATTGATTTAATTTCAGTGGTTTTATACTATGTTATAGTAACTCACAATGTAAGTTCCCCTTCACTGGTCTTTACTTTAATACTTTTGAAGGCTATTTTCAGGCATTTCCTTGCCATTCAAACTCTAAGATCATTTATCCATACTTCAAAAAATATTATTGGATTCTAATTGAAATTGCATGATATTTGAGTATTAATTTTGGGAAAGTTGTAATTTTTATCTATTGACATGTTCAGCCAAAGATATGGCATGTCTGTATATTTCTTCAGATCCTTTTAATGATTTCAGTGTTTTCTTTATTGTCATTACCTGGTTTCAAATTTGTGATTAAAGCACTTAAACATTGAGAAAATTGTCATTTTTCTCACTAATAATTCTGTTTATGAACATATAGATAGAAATTTAATTATTCATCTAATCTAATCTAATTAATATGACTATCGCTAAGTTTCAGAAATTCTAGGAAATGTGACGACATGGCTGAACTCATTGGAAAAAGCTAGAATTTGATACAGGAGAAAAGAACACTTAGTTTCATGCTCAAAACTGGACAAATTTTATCCCTTAGTGAAATTTACAATTATTATAATCCTATCTGATATGGTTACAGGAACATTATCTTTGTATATTCTGGACATTAAAGATATTATCTAAAGTAAAATATTTTCCAGTGCTGCTAGAAACAAAATCTCTGAATAAAATCATTGTGAAGTATCGCTAGATTCTTACTTGACTAGAAAGTTTAGAAGCTTCCACAGCATGTTCAAAATCTGGTCTTCCAATTACAGCAGGCTCTTTATTCATTACTCCTTGCCCTTTCTTGTATTCAGCCTAAAATGAATAAGAAAATGTCAGATATTTCTATTTTCCAGCAAAAAATTACACTGAGAATAGCCAAAATAAAATTAATAGACTGTCAGTCCATAAAAAAATATTCCTTATAACTCACCAAATTCTAAAATGCTGACTGCTAAGAAGAAACTGATTTTATAAAAACAATGTTTTTTATAGTAAACTAATTACTAAGCTTGAGTCTGTGAATCCAGTCATCATCATCATTATGTTTATGTTATCCAGGAGGAATTTCTAGATAATTAAGACTCTGCATTCTGCATACACATGTCTTTTATGTTTAGTCTTAGTAACTGATCTAACCCCATCTGGTTAACATGCAGCTGAATTTAGTAAATAATTATTGATTTTTAAGATGAGTACAGCCTATGCTACTTAATCATTTGGTTCAAGTTAAGTCATCATTTTTTAACCAGAATGTAAGAAATGTTTAAGTAAAATGGTATTTGCCAAGATGGATGAAAAACAGCCATGATGCACAGGAAATGTGCATGGGTAAATGCTGACTAACAAGAACCCGCACAATTAACAGGAACAAGATGGAAAAAAGGCCAAAGTGAAGTTATCTGGGACAAGATGAAAGACAATATGGAACCAGATGAATGACAAGCTTGACTCTCAGGCCGAAACACGTGAATGTTATCTTAGGCTTGAGCAGTATTTATTTTTTTTAAAGTATTACAACACAAGCCATAGTCAAGTGTGACCAATTTCTGTACATATCCAAATAATTTACACAAAGAGATAATTCAGATAAAAAATTGAGATGTCATTAATTCAGATTGACACATTTCACTAATTAAATTAATCACCCAACTACCAAAGCCATGCTTTCAATTCTGCTCAAGACAAGAAAGAGAGATTACATCGCTTATGATCTTGGAGATCTGTGTCGCCATCTTGATGTCTGGTCTGTCAAGCTCTGCATTATACATGTGGGTGTCCTGTACATCTTTTCTATAAAAAATCTGATGGAAGAGACAGTTTTGATCAAAAAAAAAAAAAAGAGAGAGAGAGAAAGGAAATGAGTAATGTCATACAGCTGCTAGCTTTAATGTCCCTAATGTAATTTATCCTCGCCATAATCATCTAAGAAAGTCACTGATTATAACTTAAAAAAAATTTTATTATGTGCAACATTTATTTTTTTTATTATACCAATGACTCATTGACATTATTGCATATGAACTGAATTCATACAACATAAAAAATATAATTCCAAGACCATGGCACAAAACCAAGCTTATAGGATTTTACATATACTACCCTTAAAAGCATGTCATTATGGATAAATGTAGATAGGCATATTCACATACAGAGTGTCCTCAATCAAGGGCATTAACTTGTCGATCACATAGTCTTGACTCCCAATGGATACAGGATAAGCTCCAGTACACAAATATAGAGAGTCATTTCCTGGGGTGAGGGTATGTGAAACTCTGGAATTCTGTGCCTTGTACACTCCCAACCACACCTTTCTCTTCCTTTCCTGATTGGACTCTTCAAATGCCCCTTATCTGGGAGGCCTAGTGATGGGTGCTGATAGTTTTATTCCAGTAAATATCATTGCAATGTCTTGATCCTCCAACAACAAAAGGATTCACATTAAGAAATAGCCAACAACAACAAAAAAAGAAATAGCTTTCCTCTGAATGCACATTAGATACAATCAAACCAAAGTATAGAAAACAGAGATTTAAAGATATATATATATATATATATATATATAGCCAAATATGCTTCAGGTGACAGCTGCCATTCAGAATAACTTGACTGACAAATGGAAGGAGAGACCAGAAGCCAACTCATATAACCCATGATGGGCAACATCTCACTGTCTACCTGCTTCTCTATTTCCTGAGACTAGTCATGGACTGAAAAGATGAAGTTCTATTGCAAATTCACCAGTGGGTGGGCTGGTCAACTTGTCCATTACATTAGAGTTTATTAAATTTATAATGCAAAGCATGTAGTAATGGTCATTTTCAAAATGTCTTCACTTTTTCAAGACATAAAAGGTAGAACACAGAAATGTACAACTGAACACATGAAGAATGCACAATTAACTGCATTTGTACACAACAGGTGTTTCTTTTTCTTTTCTCTTTTCTTTTGGCTGCACTGTGCAGCCTGTGGGATCTTGGGATCTTAGTTCCCAGACCAGGGATTGAACCCACTCCTTTGGCAGTGAAAGCTTGGAGTCCTAGGGAATGCCCACAAATTTCCCAAAACATAATCTTTTTTTTTTTTTTAATAAATTTTTGGCTGCATCACACAGTTTGCTGGATCTTAGTTCCCTGACCAGGGATTGAACCCTCCTGCAGTGGAAGCATGGAGTCTTAACCACTGGACCTCTAGGAAATCCCTCAAAGCAAGTACTTCTAATATTGTCTGCAAACTTTCTGCAGTAGCATCATCTAAAGTACTTATTAAAAATTTAGATTCCTGAGGTCCATCCTCAATCCTCTGTAACAGAATTTTGCTAAATGGGGCCCAAGAATCTGCATTTTAATGAATTCCCCAGTTGACCACTAAAAGTCAGTGTTCTAGATAATAGTGATGCATCTTGTTATCTTCCTTTCAACCCTACAGTGTTAAAAAAGATGTGCTTTTTTACTTCTTTAAAAAATAATATCAAGTATAAGGAATGATAATGTGTTAATACTTTCATAGGCTCCCTAATGCATTATATTATTTTATTTCAATGAAGCATGTATATACACTTCTATTTAAGACCGTGTATTGGCTTCACCATCGACTAAACTATGTTTATAATCATGAGCCTGTCTGACAAGTGAACACAGCTTAAATATAATTAGCATACTTTTGGCAAGAACGTCTGTTTTCTTCAACGCTTCTATTTTCATAGGCTTAACAAGCAATTTTAAGTCAGGTTTGTGCACACAGGTAGCAAAAGATATAAGCTGAAAACTGAGTTATTTGGTTGGGTAAATTTAAAATCTTCAGGGATTTAAAATAAGCCAATTTTGATTGGTTTCAAAAAGCAACACACTCATCTACAAATGATGGCCAATCAACCTCAGGCTGCACAGAGTTAAACACAAGCTGTGTAAACAAAAACGGACTCTCAGGTGAAAACAAACCAAAATTACTACCCACCTACAAGCCTGTTTCTAAGTTACTACATTCAGATGAAAAGCCATGGGGGGGAATGTCTTTTTGTTTATAAAAGAGTGAGTGTAAAAATGGAAACCCTTACTTTTTGAAAAGAGCTGCAACCTCTCAGAAATCTATGCTTTACATGGGTTTCCTAATTATATGCTGTTCAGCCTAATGACTGCGTGGAGAGAGGTGAACAACACAAAGGCGGCGGGACTGGGACAATGAATGGGGCCCCATCATCCATGTAAATTGCAAATTAGATGCCGGCATATGTGACTCAAAACAAATATTAAGATTGACATGAGCTGCTCATTCAAACAAGCGGACACCATGGAGCCACATAGGAGAAAAGCCCAGGGGCCTGGTCACTACAGATCTCCCAGGATATCAAGGCTTGGGGATGCTCCCCAGGAACGGGGGCTGATGCTGAGGCACACAGAGCCACAAGCTCCTGCTCTGCGCTCCCTGCAAGGATGCCTGAACATGGGTGGTGTAGAGACAACGTGGCCTGAGCAGACTACTCACTTTCCTCCACCTCGCCTGTGACTTAGGGCTGAGGGAAACTCATCTGACATTTCTCAAACATCTGCACTAGGTATTTCCTCCCTTCTTCAGCCCATCCGAATAATCCAAACCCTAAATGCAGTGTTTTCTGAATAATCAAACCTTAAATGCTCACTGAATTGGAACAATGGATGGGCTCCCATTCTCCAGGCAGTCTTCTCATGGCAAGATGGTGTTCTATATAAAACTGCTTTGAATAAGAAGAAAGATAGGGGTTCCTAAAAGTCATCAACCCAGGACAGGTGCTGGCCTGAGGGCCCATGATTTATTTTACCTCATTTTAAATTAATGTTTTGTTCCCTAACGTGTCCTCAGAGGACAAGAGAGAATGAAAAAGAAGGCAGAGGGAGGAGCAATGAAAGGGGAGGGGGCAAAGAGGGAAGAAGGAAGAAGATGGGAAAGGAGCCGGAGAAATAAGAAGTCATTTAAGACAGTTTATGATGTCAGTGAGTGAAAGTCAGTCATGTCTGACTCTTTACGACCCCATGGTCTACACAGTCCATAAAATTCTCCAGGCCAGAATACTGGAGTGGGTAGCCTTTCCCTTCTCCAAGGGATCTTCCCAACCTGGGGATCAAACCCAGGTATCCCGCATTGCAGGCAGATTCTTCACCAGCTGAGCCACAGGGAAACCCAGTTTATTATGTACCAGGTACATATTAAGGACATCACATTCACTGCCTCACTCACACATTTCTTAAATGAATGAGTCATAAGGATTTATATTCATTAAGCCCAAGTTGCCTTTATTACTCTTCTATTTCAAATTTTTTCTTAATTTAAACTAGTTATTCTCACTAATGAACATTAGACTAATTCTAATAAGTTCCACAAAGGAAACAAATGGACTTTTAATGAACACTGCACTAAACCAACCAAATGATTTTAGGGAAAAATATATCTCAACAATATTTTAGTCTGTTCCCAGGAGGAAAATGTATATTTCTCAATTTCTTTAAATTTCTTATTATAGCTTTCAATGAAGTTTCATCCTTATCTTCTATAAGTCTTATATAGGTTAAAACACAACAATTATGACATTAATATCACATTTAAATATTTATTTTGTACTCAAGATATACTGCTCTATATTTTAGCAGTATGTAATATTTCCAAAAAGACCAACTATGGCTTCTTCCTCAGAAGTACTGAGAATTATTACTTTACATGCTTGATCTCTTTCTCCTGCCTTTTTATTTCCCCAGTGAATTTACTTCTTTGCCCATTTCCATTCATCTGTATCATTTTCCTAAATTACTCCTTTGTTCCTTTGTAGTGGACATGTGTATGTTTTTTTCTTTTTAAATCCACCTTTTGCTGTTGTTTTAGTCACTAAGTCATGTCCAATTCTTTGCAACCACGTGAGCTATAGCCCATTAGTCTCCTCGGTCCATGGAACTTCCCCAGACAAGAATCCTGGAGTGAGTTACCAATTCCTTCTCCAGGGGATCTTCCCACCCAAGGAACTGAACCCTCAAAGCCTGCATTGCAGGCGAATTCATTACCACTGGGAAACCCAAAAATCTTCCAGGTACTTTTTATTTGGAAACTGCCCCTCCCCCTCCCTCCCTCCATGTGACTTGGTGAGGCTATCAGCAGCAGCCTTCCTTCCTGGTGACAGGAGTGGCCACGTGACAGGCTATCCAATCAAAGACCCCAACCCTCTGGAAACTAAAATAGAGGGCAGATACATAAACAAGCAAGGTCAGAGTCATTAATGGATCTGAGGCTGCGGGAGAAAGAACTGCTGTCCTTTCCTCTGGGATCGGCGGCAGTGAAGATGATTTAGTTTTGAAAACACCAGCCTTGAGACCAGCTAGACAGATCTGATCTGCAAATGAAGTCATGGAGAAGAAAGAAGAGCCAAGAGACAGGGAAAGAAGGGGGTCCTCACGACACTGTGGAGCCTCTGGAGCCAGTTATGCCTAAAGGTAGCTCTACGCAAACCAATAAATTCTCATTTTTCGCTTGAGCTAATGTGAGATGGATTTCTGTTACTGAATCCACAAACTCCAAATGTAGCCTCCATTTCATATGTTTTTCTGCAATGTCAACTCTATTCTTTATTGCCTCCAATAAAGATTTTAACTCTATCACCTGAAGCTAATATAATATTGATAGATCAATTATAGTTAAGTTTTAAAAAATTTTAATTCTATCAAAATCTGTCATGGAATTTCTTCTTTATATTACCATGTTCACTTACCCTCTCAGCTTGCATTTTCATCTCATTTTATTGTCTTTTAATTTCAGTTTATTCCCCCCTAATAATCTTTCTACT